TTAGTGCTCAATTTATTTAAAGCTTTGTAGAATTTTTTTATTAAAATCAATTTAAAATTAATAAAAATAATTGAGACATATATATATAAATCAATTTTTTATTAAAATGCATGTTTTTTTTTTAGTTGAAGATGCAAAAATTATTATTTTTAACTGTAACACAAATATGTTTTTAGCCTACATTTGTTTTTTTTTATTTGAGTCAAAAATCACTTTTGTAGTCTTTGTCTAAATTTTAGATTAGAGATTTCAAATTGAAAATATAAAATAAAATTCATATAAGTAAATTTATTTTGAAAATTTGTAGTATAATTGTGTATGTTGTTAACTTTTGACTTTTTCTTAAGATGTTTTCCAGTTTCGTTAGGAAAGGAATAACTTTTTACGCGATCAGATTCGATACTTTATTACCTCTGTTGGTTTAGAATATTGTCATCAATGTTTGAAATTAATCTAGATTGTTGGTTCAAATCCTTCAGCAATTAGATTACAATACGGATTATTTTTTGGAATGTTTAATAATTTTACTACAGTGACTGCAGATATAATTCTAGTTAAACCATTAGTTTTGTCAAATTAATTAATTAAACGAAACATCAAAATGCTTACAGGCTCAATCAATCTCTAATTTACTTTTTAAAACATTAATTATGCTACCTTTCTTGGATGGATGAAGACTAGAAAAACAACGAAAAAGCTTAAACTCAAAGATTATCAATGATTATTTGGCTCAAATCGTCAAAACTCGGGCGGAAATGTGTTAATCGCATATAAAGTAACCAAATTATAGAAAGCAAAACTAAAATTTTTAACTGATGGTCATTATTTTTTTTCTGTGTGTGTCTCTCCCAATGTCCTCGTGCATTTATTGACGAGGAAAAAAGTAAGAGGTACTCTATGTATTAATACCACCTAGTAGGGTCACCATGGACCCATAAATACCTGACGGGCATGCATGTAGAAGCTCGTTCCGTAAGTTTTGCAAGCTCATAGGTTCTGTTATGGGCAGGTCAAAAGTTGAAGATATCATACACCTAACCTAAACAATTTCACCTCCTAAAAGAGAAAAGAATAACCCATCAAATAATTGGTTTGTGCAATGAACCGATGCACATGGGGATAAGAGAGCGTTATCTATTTGCTATTCTAGAGAGTGAGAACAAAACACATGCATGTCCAATTTGCTATTCTACAGAGTGGGAACAATGTACATGTGTAGTTATACCCAACTTCAACCACGTTGAAATTGCGCTTTCCTCAATTTTCAACTAAGCAATCAAGCTAAATTGGCCTAGGTAATTGCCTCTTAAATGTTAGATACCGACAATAACCTAGTTTGTTTTGCCTTCAAATCAGGTTTATCTCAGATGTTGGACAATGAAAGCTAATGATTATCAAAATATTTGTCATCTTCAGCAAAAGATCATAAACATATGATCCTGGGTTTAGGATATATCACCGTTACGTGATTTCAACAACAAGAAAAGTAGCACCACGCCTCCACCCAACCCATGTTCTGTGGACAGTCTTTTCCCAAAGGCTAAAAGCTTATTCCTAGTTTGTCCACTACGTGACAAATTTAAATTCGGCACGCTTATTATCCCCTAGTCAATCCTTTTGCACATTCTTTGACTATTTGGATCATGTACGTACACTCTTCCCCTATTTCGTTGCTTCGTTTGACCACTTCATCATTCAATCTCAATTCTAGATCCCTGCTTCTTTCTTTCTTGCTTACTTACTACTTCCCTAATCTATATCCCACGTTTAAATATTTTGTTTTTTTCTTATTATTTGCAAGACTATTTACTCCAAAACTATGGTTTGAATCACTAAAATAAAGAGAAGTGCCCACTTGTAATATCTAATCGTGGCCCCAAAAACTTATGATAAATAAAAAAATTACAGAATAGCTTTGTTATAAATCTATTACACAAATGGATCATACACTATTTATGGCGTGAACACGTGGGCAGCAAGCAATAAGAGTAATTATTTGGATCATAAGGTGTTTTCTGTTTTTACCGGGCCAGCTCATCTCCCTAATTGCGATGAAATATGTTGCTAGCAATTATATGTATATCATTTTCCAGAATTGAAAGAAGATAAGTGAAAAATGAAATTGAATCTTACTAATTCGACCACATTATGTGTGATACATAAAGTAGTTAATGGGTAACATCATTTGTTATAATTGTAAGTGTTGGGACCACGCATAAATATAAGCGACTCTCCGCTCTCCCCTCTGCCCCCACCACCACCCATTTCCCCACCCAAAAAATTAAGAAAAAAGGGAAATAATGAAAACGAAAATATGAAAAGGAAGGGTGTCACAAATTAAATTTATAGCTTCGAGTCATCAGTTTCATCTGTGGATTTTCTGCTGCATTTATCAGAGTCCTGTGAAGCTTTTTTGTTCATTGAAGGCCAACGTGGTCCATAAGGTCCAACCCTGAGGTGGATTGGATGGTCATGATTCATGGACTAAGCTACTTTTATTCATTAATGGACCACAGTTAAAGAGGACCACTCATCCAGGGACTAAACTGTCAGAGTCTGTTTACCTGTGTCCGTTGGGGTCCAATTTCTGGTGACATTGACTTGTTTGTAAGCCCTGCGCTAGATTCATTTCATATACTAAAGCCCAACATTTTCTAGAATCAATTTTGTTCACCAAATTTGTTTTTATCTGAGTCGGATTGAATAATCTACACTGTCATTTTGTTCTTAATGGCATGCTTTGACTAGAAAACAACAAATCAAAATATCATTTGGGATTTCAGCATGATCCTACGAAGATGTAAACATGATATAGATGTTTTCTTTGGATGTCAATAACTTTCATTTTCCTTCTCTCAACTCTCACGGAGTTTATTTTTAAAATGAAGTGGGTAATTGAATTGCTTAGTCTAAGAATACTTAACGATCATTTATATTTTAATTTGTTTCGTAAAACATCCTTTTCACAATCTATAAATCTCTTTTCTCCTCTCCAATGAAGTGGTGAGAACGACAAGGATGACTGAAGATGCATTACAATTGTTAAAAGATTACCAGTTACACATGCGTTGGCCTTCTCATCAGCAACAAAATGAGGAGGTATAAACTACCAATTAAAGGTAAAACTATAAGTCCGGAATGACAGATTCTACAAGAACGTGGCATTTTAATTAATTTAATGACAAATTAATTATCTAATTCATTATCCATCCCTTTCTTAAGAATGTGGGCGTTGTAAAAATAATAATCCTGAGAATTTCAAACTTCTTTTTCAAAAAAAAATGAAGAAAACAAGGATTCTTAATCCAAAGCTACTAGGCCCGTGTAGGTTTTTTAGTGGGCCCTGGAATCCTTCGAGTCTAAAAGATGGGCTGCAGAAAGTGAGTAAGCCCAACAAGGTCTCGTACGACGTCGCAGCAAACGTTTTTTCTCGTGCTAGTTAAAGAGACCAGTGTTATCGTCGCAGGGAGCGCTTGATGAAGCCCTAACTGGCTTCGCCGTTACGAGCAAGTGGTTGCGAGAGAGAGGAATATCGATTTTTATTGTGGTTGATGGTAAGTGAAGTAATTTTGTTTTTATAGAATATGGCTTTGGTTGTTAATATTATTATTTGTAAATTGAGGAGTGAATTGAAATTTGAGTCGAAGTGTAGAAGAAGTAGCTGATGATGAGAGTATTATTGGCATGAGCTGCGACAACACTCTGCGCACCGTGTGGTTTTCCGACACGGGTTGTTGTGGCGATGAAGAATGTGCCAAAATGCTAATCTGAGGCATTTTATTTTCATTTTAAAATATCGGTCACTAACTACCCTAACCTTTTCCTTTCATGCTTTTCTTTCGTCCCCTGAATTATTGAATTGGGATTTCGATCTCGTCGCTGCTCTTTTCATTCGCTTGTAAATTATGATCTCACTGAATCCTGATTTGTTATGTTTTTGGATTAAAAGTATGTTTTCCTTATTAAAATTTGCTTCTTAAATTAAAATAAAATAAGGATTTTGTTAAAGTTTATGAAAAAATATATAAATTATAAAAATATAATAAATACTTTTTTTCTAGTAAAATTTTACTATCATTAGCTATACCTTAACAAAGTATTTTTCACTTAAAAGAAATAAAAATTTTAAATTAAAAGATAAAAATTAAAATGATAAGTTATTGAAATTTAATAATTGGAAATTAAGTTAAGATAATAATAATAAATTTAGTTTTTTTTATAAAATAAAGATATTTGCAACGTGATATAATGTTTTTACATTTAAAATTAAAAATAATGTTTGAAAGGAGAATGAATAAAAGATAAAATTAAGTGTTTAATGTTGAAATTATTTAATTTTAATTTAAAATAATCAACTTTAGATAAAAATTGGGAATAATAATTAAAATATAAGTAATTTTTTGTATTATATATTTATCTTTAAATTTATTATTGAATTAAATTTAAAAATAGTTATATAAAAATATTGAAAGGCAAGAACGTAAAAATATTAAAAGTTCATTGACCAAAAAGGACCAATAAGAAGGCTATAAGCCCAACTCAGAAGCACTGCAGATAATTCACAGTTAACGCTTTGGACCTGGGCTTCAAAATCTTTCTCGTTAATGCTGTTACAAGGCACTCTACCTGTTCACTGTTAATTACGATTCTTTTGACCACGACTGTGATCTAATTCACTCCTACGAAAGTAGCTTATAAATAGATGGAGTGAATCATAATGACACAAGCCAATTAACTTGGAATCGAAAAGGATATATACTAAGGAATTTCTGTTCCTAGTAACTTCTATAACCTCACATTTTTGGTTTGATCGGTAGGTTTGACATGTAGTTAACCATGGCATGCATTGACCGGTAGTTTTCACTTATTGTTAGAGCTTAAAAATTGGTGAAGCGTGCTGTTCTATGACTTAAGAATGAAGGAAAGTTGTTGAATATTAGAAGCTCTATATAGGAGCCAGTTTCCCTCCCAAAAATTCATTAGCCTCTGTAGCTCCCCTTATTGTGGTGTTCATTTTTCGGTGCTGTAAAGAGGTAGCAACTTAACCATGGGACCTGGCGGACCAGGGGGTCCTGGTCCTGGAGGACCCGGACCTGGCGGGCCTGGTTGGGGCCCTGGACCCGGCGGGCCTGGTTGGGCTCCTTTCCCTGGTGGACCTGGTTTCTCTGGACCGGGTGGCTTCTTTGGTGGATTTGCAAATGGTTTATGTAGCCTCATATCATCATGGTGAGTCCTAACGTTTTAAAAAAAACAGCGATAACATGATTCAACTATAATGTTGTTTTGTAGAAATCACTGTAAATTTAACACGATATAATGCTTGTTATGATTTTCATGTTGGATCTGATTTCTAATGTTTATTGCATCGTGTCCGGGAAATGCAGCTTCTATTGCTTGTGCTGTTGTTGGTTGCTGCAAGATTGTTTTGGTGGTCCACCCGGCCCAGGCCTAGGCCCAGTTGGGCCTCCTCGTTTCTGATTAGCGGAGTTCAAAGATTTGGATGCTGCTCTGGGTGCCAATTGCCAAGCCCGTTGAGGGAGTTGTGGAATTTGTCTTTCATTTTGACAAAAAAAAAGTTTGTCTTTCCTTGTAGCAATGTGAGGAGGCTATCGTTGTTGTGTATGTCTTATCTATAATTGGTCTTTATTTTGATTACTATATAGTAGATCTTGATTAATGATCATGATTATGGTGTGATTGATTTGCTTGTTCAAGAAGATTTTGAATCTACTCTAATTTGGATAAATTATACTTTACTTAGTCATCTTTATATAAATATTTTTTGTTTCATTTAAACATCTTGAAATACTGCATTTTTTGTATCATTTTATTTCCCATGTCTAAACTTATCAGTAAAAAATGTATAGCTGAAGCTTTCTTTTTTTTGCTTTTCATTTCACTTGCTAATGGTATTTTTTTTAGCAACTACCCGTGAGATCAAAACATAATAATCGCAATTGACAAAAACATTAACGAAATTTTGTACATTTTTTTAAGAACTAAACTCACTTTTTGCTGCCTTCCCTCTTTGATTTCTCAAAGGCTTTGTAAGGATTTATAACTAAGGAGTAAAAATAATAAAACATAAATCCCATCAGTTTACCTAAAGTGTGTGTTTGAACTATAATTTAATTTTAAGTGACCACTATTTTGTGACCTTAATCTTAATAAAACAATAAGTTCACGATGAAATATTTATATTTCAAAATTTTACCCGAAAAATAAAATTGCTGGAGCTAATATTACTTGAATGCTATTGACGAATATCTTTATTGAATATATAATTGCTAAAAGATATAACTTTTATACTTTTCTATCCAAGTTAATCTTATTCTATTCTAATTCGTGATTTTTAAGATGCATAACAACGCATGAAACAAATGTTATAACAGTATTATTATAGTGAATTTAATCAATTAAAAACTTTAACTTGTAGAATAGAAAATACCTATTCGCACGAGAGGTGAAAGGCAAAATACGAGGAAACAAAACAAGGGGAGAACTAAGTTATGGATGGCAATTAAAGTTAAACTCAAACGTGTGTCTGCAAAATAAGAGACCAACTTATTTTCTTTGAATCAGCATAAAGTATAACTTAATTACGGTGCGTATTAGTGTGTCCAGATTCAATTATAAGCTTGGGAATTAAAATTAAAATAGTACAATATAAAGTGAGTGCATGCATTTCAGATAGCGATTCTGACCGTTGCACTGTACCAAAATCTTGGCCATCGTTATGTACGCTCTGTCACGTTTCTAGTCAACGATCCAACACCCACATCATCCATGTGTTTTTCAAATCTTATTTAAGACAAAATTTAACTACAATACTGTACGTATATTTTTTAATCAAAGTTAAAATTTTACCTTAATAATCTACCTAATACAAAAATAAGCATTAAAAATGAGCACATCAAACGTTAAGATGAGGCTCTAACTCTAATAAAACAACCATGCACTTAAATTTTTTTATCTTATTATTTATTATTTCTTATTGATTGACCAAATCATGAGCTTCGTTTTATCAAACCATCTTGTCATTAAAAAAAGGAAGGGTCGTTACATAGTAGTTTCATCGAGTAGTGAAAATATCCTCTCTTTTTTTATCATTGGGCCGAGGAGTATTGGGCCCTGATATTCTTACACGTGGAAGAATATGATAGGTGGAGAGTTGAGAATAGAGACAAAGAAATTCAAAACGAGAGAGAAAGAGAGTATTAATGGTGTAACTCTGGCTATCTGTGTCCCTGGAGTGGACGCTACTCCACCACAGTTGCAGCACAACACAAACACAGTGTGTGTGTGTATGTGTGTGTGAGGTAGGTTCAGAAAGCGATCCCTTTACTTACCCACCACCTTAAAACCACTCTCTCTCACCACTTCAATCAGGTACACTTCTACCCTCTTCGTTTGTACATTCATTTCTGTCATGGGTGTTGCAAAGTCTGAGTCTTTTCTTCCTTCGGTGACGGTTTGCGCAGTGTTAGTATATACTGGGATAACGTTAAAACGATGAAATCTTAAATTTTTTCTAGTCAAAGTTTTTGCAACTCGTGGATTTTTCTCTATTTTATTAAATCTTAAGTTTTTCTCTCACGGGTGGTGGTAGCAATAGTGTTGAAATTACGGGAATGACCTTGCTCTATGAGGTTATGTGTTTGTGTGTTTTTGTGCTGTGTTGGAAATACCGAAGAGGTAGTGTCAGATTCTTAGTCGGTGATGAGTTTGGTGTTTTTTTACCTTTCTTATCTTCTTGCTATTTATTGAGTATGTGATTGGTGCTTTGATACTACTAGTTGATCGTTATGCTTCCGCAATTTTGGCTTGGAGGTCGAGCTTTTTTACTTTTAATTGTATGTTTTGTGATACGTAGGTTGTTGGGGATTACCAAGAAAAGATTGAAGAAGGAGAAGATGGGTGAAGTGATAAAGAATCAAACGTCACACTGGTGGTGGCTTGATAGCCACACTACAGCTAAACGATCACCATGGCTTCAATCCACTCTCGCTGGTATACACTTTTCCTTATCAATTTGCTATCAGAATTAACTAGCTGAAAAGTGGAAAATAACCGTGTTTCTTAGAAGAAAAAGTGAAACACAAGTGCAAAAACATAAAAAGGTTATGGGGGCACCGTTATGAATTATTCGTGTCTTACTTTTCTAGTTCTTTATCTTTTCTATCTTTTCCCCTGTGGATTTAGCCGTTGGAGCAACCCATGATTTAACCTTTTTTGTGCACATTATTGTTGAGAAAAAAAAAGGGATTGTTCATGTCTGTTTGAGAATATACATATATCACTGGAGATGAAAGGAGTTAATATTGCTCTTATAATTTATATATAAATTATATAAATTATTTTAGTTAAATGTAATCTTGACTATTTATATTAATTATACGATTAAGATTTTCTCATGCCATTATGTCTCACTCAATACATGTCCTATATATATGAAATTTGCAAATATACAACTAAGGTGTAATTTGCTAAATACTCATTCTAAAAAAAATAAGTGGCCGTGGTTGCTGACATACAACCACTTATTTGTTTTCTAGAAGGAGTATGTTATCAAGCTATAACTTTTATTTTTTTAAAATATACTTACGGTGTAGCTTGCTAAAACACTCCTTTTAAAAAATAGGTGGATATATGTTAGCAAACCTCTATATATATCCATTTGTATTTGTTGTTTATGGTAAGTGAAGTAATGAAAGGAACTAAGTGCTTTTGTTTGGTTTGTTTTTTTACTTTTATAAATTGATGAGTGCATTGAAATTTGAGTTGAAGTGTAGTAGGAGTAGCTGATGACGAGAGCACTATCGCATGAGCCGTGATAACATTCTGCTCACTTTGGCTTGATGGTTCTGTTTCACAGGCCTGAGCACTAACAGAGAGTTTTCCTCTCTCAAACATACAATCAGAAAAAATGTTTCCTGGAAAACAATTTTCAGAAATGAAAAACATTCTACATATTAAATGCTCCTTTAATGTTATCAATGATAAACTTTCTATTTATTGATTTTGCAAAACAGTGAAAGGTATCTCCCAAAAAGTGATTAGTTCTTCGGAATAAGTTAATCCAACATACAACAAATTTATGTGTGATTGTCTGTTGCATATTTACTGCAGAGTTGAATGAGAAGACAAAGGCAATGCTAAAATTAATTGAAGAAGATGCAGATTCCTTTGCTCAACGTGCAGAGATGTATTACAAGAAGAGACCAGAGCTTGTGAGCATGGTTGAGGATTTCTACCGGACCCACCGCTCTCTAGCTGAGCGCTATGATCAAGTCAAACCTGATAATGGAATTGGACACCTTGTTTCTGGGGGATCCCCTTTTGCTTCTGCCAAGTATCAGTTTGAGAAGTTGATGAGTTTTGCAGATAATGGATATGATACCTATTCTGAGCATTGTGATGTGTACGAGTCTGAGGAATCTGATGTTGATGATCCTGAGCAGGAGGAAGAGGGGACTGAGTTTCTTAACTACACAAAAGAAGAGCAGCAAGCTTCGGTCATGGCTACGAGTGATGAAGTGATGAGGCTTAGGGATGAAATCAAGAGGCTCAATGAAGAGAACAGGGCTCATAGGGATCAACTCAAGCAGAAAGATACCATCTGTGATGAAGTAATGATGTTGAGGGAAGAAATAGGAAGGCTTAGAGATGAGAATGAGGCACAGAAGGAACAACTCAAGCAGAAGGATGAAGAGAAGATTGAGGTGATAAGGCACCTGAGTTTAGCAATTGATGTGCTGAAGCAGGAGAATGTAAAGATGAGAAACTTCATTTCTAAGGAGTCCACCAAGAAATGGAAGAACCCTTTTGAGTTTAACAAACTTGTTGGAGCATTGTCAATGAAGCTGTTCAATGGGACACCAAGGAATCAGCCCAGCGTTGAGCTCTCTAGATGTGGTTAACAAAGTTTGCAAATAGCGTAATTATGTACAACAATCTTACCAAGATGTCTATATTTGTGTTAGGGACTTACCCAAGTAACTTAGGCTAGAGTATACAATATGTTTATGTCTTTTCCATTCCTAGTCTTAGATTCCTAGTGTGCGTACTTATGATATTCTTTATATGTTTATGTCTTTTCCTTTGCAAGTTGTATTTGCTTATTTAAATTCCAATTGTTTCAATTTTTTATTCTCACATGACTGTATTGTACCCCACCCCAATTTCCATTAGTCTTTTACATGCCTCTCTCTTTCATAATGTTAAGTGCATTCTAAAGCAGAGCCATCAAAATAATTTGTGGTCCTGGGGGAAAGGGACTCACTCAGCTTTAGTTTAATAAATTGTCAAGTTGAGAAGAATACTATACAGACACTTCAAAAAAATTGATACTAGGCACCATTCTCTCATCATAAGATGTCTAATATCAAGAAATATCTATATATATATAGTTTCCTAGCACATCATGTACCAATATTAAAGGTTGAAATGGCATGCATATAGTACAACTACACAAGTAGAAATACCAACACCAATCTATTCACAAAACATGAAGCCACATTATGTAAATTACAGGTAAAGTCAGACATGAAATTGAATATAGGGTCTGATATGTATGCTGGAAAGCAGGAGCCAGAGATGGCAAATAAGCCAATACAGTGCCTGGAGTACCCAATACATCTGGGTTTGGAGGGCTGGGACTTGAAGGAATTGTGGGCAGTGAAGAATATGAGGGGGAGTAAGAAACTTCACCAGCACCTGGGGTAGGAAACAGTGGCTCAATATCTGGTGATTGAGTAGGGGAATCCAGAGGAGCACCTGGTAAGATAGATGGCGCTACTGAGATGGTGGAAACTTGCTTATTTTGCTGAGAACTAGAAGCCAAGACTACAGAACAATTGCATGCCACTAAGGCCATCATCAACATTGCCCAGAGTGACCAAAAGGAAGCCATAAATGATAGCAGAATAAATATATTGCCTTGTAATGAACTTAATAAATATGTCTTGAAGAGAAAGAGGAAACTGTTCCCGGAGAAGCTGTGGAGGTGCATGATTGATGCATAAAACAACATAAAAAGAATAATGTTTCTGGATGAGAGGATATTAAGTACATGTATTTTTATTTTTTTATTTATTAAAATTTTAAAAATGTAGCATCATTCAAATAAAAAGGGTCTACCAGAAATGGTGGTGGGCTTCGAATTGGCAATGACAATTGATGACTGGGACCTCTTAAGCATTGTTACTTTCTGGAGTGAATGAATACAAGGTGTCCTTGGCATCTAAATGAACCCCAAAAAGAAGGATAAAAAGTAAACATGGTGAGGGTTGAGAGGGAAAACAAACAAAGGGCTTCAGAAATTCCAAGGCATAAAGTAAACTAACAATTGCTGACAACTGCTTAACCTTACTTGTTTCTACTATTTTTCAGACTGCATACCCAAATATATCACACCTCACACATGATTCAATCATTGTATTTACTGTGCACTATTTTTCATGCAAAATGTCACCGTTTTAATCCAATAATAGATTAGTAAAAAGTGGATACTGATCATAAGAAAGTATGATTAAAGAAAAAGCTTCTCAGTTTGGCGAGGCAATTTTGTAATGTTTTAAAAATATTTTATTTTAATTTCATAATATTTATGAAATATCAAAAAATACTAACTTTAATAATTATAAATTAAAAATTTCTTGATCCAAAAAAAATTGCTACCAAACCAAGTGAAAAATGAATAAGCACGACTAACAGAAAAAAAAGAGACCTCGAACCCAGAGATGAGAAACACGTGGAAAAGGGGGCCGAATAAACGGTAAAAAAACAAACCATAGGTGAGACTGCAGGGTCATTTTTTTTTATATGGGATTTTTTTTACTTAATTACCATAATATGGACTTTAGAAAAAAATTACATAAATATGAGAAATTTTAAAAATTGTCAGTGACGATTTTTGAATGTCAGAAAAAGTAATTTTATATGATGGTAAAAATTGCCAGTGACAATTTTTGAATGTTAGAAAAAATAATTTTATATGATGGTAAAAATTGTCATTGGCGAGTTTTCAAAAATTTTTGAAAGTAAAAATCGTTTATGGAGATTTTTAAGAAGTAAAATTGCCACTGACATTTTTTAAAATCTCGTTCTATATATAGTCATTGCAATTTGTAATAAATTGCACCGTAACCATATTCTCTCCACTCTCTAAAGCTTTTCTATTGCATTTCTGCTGTTTGCATTTTTTTGTTTATCAAATTTGGCTATTCTTTTATAGTTGAAGAAAGAAATGAGTACAAATATAGTGGTGTACTTTAATGGTGAAATTATTACAAACACATGTGAAGGTGTGAGATTTACATGTGAGAAGCCAATTTGTATGCATATTCCTTATAATATATCATATGAAGCACTAAAATATTGGCTTTGTCAATATATTGAAGTGGAGACTCCAAAAATAGTAGAGAGTATAACGTATAGGTGTCCGATTTCTATTTTTGGAGGTTTCATGCAATACCAAGGAGTTGCAATAACAACTGACGATATTCAACAAATGTTTCAAATACATAATGAGCGTCGGGCCCCAACTCCTACCATTGAGCTGTATATTTTTTTTAAACAAATTACAGCTGATACATGTGCAGAAGGTAGCGATGAGGAAGATGAAGCCTATGTGAGCATCGTTCCCAACAGAGAGATTGAATGAGAACAAAACAGCACTGAAAGTGATGACCCTGACTTTGATGAAGACGGTGATGATGAGGAATCAGAAGATGAGGGAGTTGATGAAGACTTTGGGGCGGCAGAGGAATAGGTTGAGCAAATCCATATTGCCACATCACACGGTCAGTTGCATGCCACTCTACAACCTCAAAGCATATCAATGGGCTTACAGTTGACCACAATAAACGTTCTCCTCTCAAATCATGTGGAACAACGGCATCAATCGCTTCATCCTCATATGGTCGCCACATGAACTGCATTTTCAAAAATAATTATTCATAAATAATTTCAAACATGTATAAAAATAGTTAAGAAATGTATAAATATATTAACAAGTACCTCATGTAGTGCCATTTTATCTAATGCTAGTCTAACATTTCCAAGATCCCTATATGGAGTCTTGGTTGGATATCAAAGACGTCTCCATCTGAGTATAAGTGGAAATACTACTGGTTCACCAGGTATTGGAGCCAACCACAGGAGCCTGTGCCATGCCCATACCTGCAATAATATTATGCATCCACAAATTTCTTTGGCATCATGTCGTGAACCACGATCCAAACCTCTATACAGAAAAGCAAGGCATGCTGAACCCCAACTATACATTCCAATTTCATAGACATTTACCAACAATTGGAAGAATTTTCCATCTACCAGGGAGTTGCTCTTGTTTGGCATTAAAACATGTCCCAACAAAGAAAGTACATATCCTCGAGCATGTTGAGCTATCCTAATGTCTGAATTAGCAGGAAGCCAACCAAGGTGTTGTGTGATCCACTTTAATCTTATTTCAGAACCTTCAACATCATTTGATTCGGGCCGACTTCCGAGTAACTGTTCACACATATTCTGCAATGCCAAAGTATTTGGATTAGTAGAACCAGTAACTGCTATACCATTGCATCGCAATCCAAGCAACATCTTCTAATGTTATTGTGCATTCTCCACAAGGAAGATGAAATGTATGTGTTTCTGGTCTTCAACGTTCAACAAGTGCATTTATAAGGCCACCGTTTATATGCATTTGACATAATTGTGCAATACGATCAAAACTAGCATTTCATAAAATTTCATTTATTTCAGGCTTAGGTGACATTATAGATAAGTAACGTAGTCGTAATACTCTCATTACCTGAAATTTAAAAATAGTAATTTATCAGTAATCTATGAATTAAATATATATCAAAATATAAAAAAACTAACTATAAAAAAATGATATGTTTCTACTTAATTATACCCACACATAATATTATTATTATTTTAATATAAATTATGCTTTACTTATTTTTACATCTATTATTATCATTATTATTATTATTTTAATACTATACAATGGCTAATATTAACACTTAGTACGAATAATTTATTATATATTTTTCAATGATAATAATTTTTATTAAAAGTAAATAATATAATAAAATTATCCAATACTAAAATTTTATAAATTTTATTATGTTTTTACTTAGACTAAAATAATTATCTTTATTTTATACAAACTTAAAATAAATTGCATTAATTAAAAAATAAATAACTCAAATAAAATTAAGAAAAAAATTTATTATACTACATTGCATGTATTAAAAAATAAATATTTACTTACATTTTGAGTACGAATACGTTGTGAAATATGTTTGTGCGATTCCATAATCACGTCTTGAGCCATTTTATTCCCCTCTTTGATATTGTTATTCTGTAAGATCCTTCCTCTTTAGCGATTTTCATATTTCCCTTTCTCATTTGCGCATACAGCATGGTGCAATTCTTATTTATAAGCATAGTTCCAATTCAATTCGCGACATTTCAATATGTTACTGTGTTAGTAAAAATCGTCACTCACGATTTTTCAGTTGTAGGACAATGTATTATTGTGCTAATAAAAGTCGTCACTTGCGATTTTACTGACTTTGCATAGTATCTGTACCCAATTAAATATGCGTGCTTGTTTGTATTTTTGCCTGACAAATAAGTCAAAATTAAATATTGAAAAGTCAAAATTAATGGCTTCCAGACATTGCAAACTGGCGATTTTTCAAATACCACACATTCGTAATTATACAGAAAAGTCCATCGATAAATATATCATAAAAACACCATATTAAAATTAAATTCCCGAGACTGCACTAATAACTTTTTTTTATAGATAAATTATCTTAAATTTAATCATTAAATTTAAAGTTATTATTATATATGTTATATTTTTAAAATAAATAAATATTGCTGTATATAATTATAGTCAACAGTAAATTGTAAAATTGTGCAGTATAAAAGAATGGTTCGAATGGATGTTTTGAGAAAATAAAATGAAAAACTTAAATTAGATTAAAGAAATAAAAAGTTGATTTTTGTTTGAATAAAAAATTAAACATATTATTTTATGTTTTTATTAAAAATAATTATGGAAATATAATATAATAGTTGTGAAAATATTTTTTTATTTAATAACTAGTTGACAGATGAATAATGTTAACTTAGTTAAGTGAAAATGAAGAGAAAATTAAATATAAAATAAAGCTCTAAAACTTTAGCCTTATTATTTTTTTATTACTCAGAAAATGCAATCATACCAATCACTACTTTCGGTATTTTTTTACTGAAAATAATTGCTAATATTTTTAATTATAAAAATTTTGTTTTTAAATATATTACTCAGAAAAAATTACCGTATTTTTATTTTGATTGTAAAAAATAAATTGTTACCTTTATATGTATATTTATTGTTATTTTTATATTTTTATTTTTTATAAACATTATAATAATAAAATATTCACCAGTTATTTATATATAAAATATTTTTATTTATTGAATATATAATTTAGAAATTTAAATATTTAATATGATATATATTTTAAAATTATAATATAAATTTATGAGGCTCTTTTTATGGAAATTTTTTTAAAATATTAAAATATTAAAATATAAAATTTTATAAAAAATTATGAAAATATGAAAAATTTTCAAAAATTACTAATGAGAAATTATAGTATTTAATATTCTTTTAAAATATCATTAACAGTTTTTATTTTTATTTTAAAAATTAATAATAATAATTTTTAATATTTTATAATTTTAGTTGTTCCAAACTGATGCAATAAAAATCATTATCAGTAATTTTTAAATTCTTATATTTATATAATTTTTCAAAAATTTAATATTTTAATGTTATTTTTAAATACTGTACTAAAATAAACAAACCAATTTATGACATAATAATAAACTGTTTACTTATTTTTTATAGAAAAATAGAGATAATGAATTGGAAGTATAGCTGTCAGCCTAGGAACAGGTTTCCTATTTGTCACCATCAAACGACGTGTCGTGGACATCAATAACTTCTTGATGCTTCTAAATCCATTCTGATCAAATGGCCACATAATTTTATTGCAATTTTCATGATATTTTTCTTCAATCAAACAGTAATAATATAAAGATTTGTTTTGTTTTAAGAAATTTATGTTTTTATTTATAAATGATCACTTTTTACTTAAAATAAAAACAAAAACAAAATGTTCATGCATATGCAAATCCTTACAAAATATGAAAAATGAAACTTTTAAAATTTATTTTTAGAGGTATTATTCCAAATCAAACAATTTCGTGTTTTTCTTATGTATTCTTCCAACCATCGTAGATACGATTGCTACCGGAAAATGACCAAACAACACAAAGGAGAAAAGCAAACATCGATGACGATAAAAAAAAAAAAAACTAAAAACAAGTAATTTATCATTTCATTACCTCTAAATATTTCATAGAAGACACATTATTATTAAATTAATAAACTAAATTTATTATTAATAATAAATATTTCATCATATTAAATAAGAGTGAATTAAAAAATTAAAAAGATGTTAATTTTAAATTTTAATATTTAAATTAAGATAATTTTTTTAATAAAGTCAATGCTCAATGTGTTAAAAATCACGTGACAAAATAAAATAAAATAAACATTTAAAATACTCTTGTTTTAAGATAAGTTTTTAAAATATTTTTATTTAAGAAATAAAATTTATAAATTATACATATAAAAAATAATTTATAAAATATAAATAAATAAAACAAATACTAAGAGCTTGTTTGATTTAGTTTAAATTTTAAAAAATTACATTTCAAAACAATTTGATAAAATTATTTTAAAAAATAAAATAAATTTTTTTGATAATTTAATTTTTAAAATTATTTTTAGTTAAAATTTTATTAGTTTTAGAAAAAATAGAAAAATAAAAAAAACACCCAAACAATAAGTCTGATTTTTAATTTTAAAAACTAAAATAAAAAATATTTTTAAATTTATGTTAACAAATAATTTTTTCTGTTTTTTTAAATTAAAAATTATATCTAAAAAAAGAAAATAAACAAGTCCTAAAATTATACTTTTTCTTTTTCATTTATGTGTTTTTTCTTTTTTTCACGGTCTAAGTTAAACATAAGAACTTTTTGAGTTTTACAAATTTTTCTATTTTAAACTTGACATATGATTTTTTTTTTCCTAAAATTTTGTAATAAAAAAAAGTTAACCAAAATAAAGTACAGTTTCTTTCATAAAGTCTCTTACTCTTTTTTTTTTTATCACATCTAATCATGTAGCTTGCTATCTTTTACCTTTTTTTATTTATGATTTTAATTTATATACATTGATTTTATACTGTTATTCAATTATAAATTATTATATTAATAAATATTGTTTACTTTTATAATAATTAATATAAAATTATAATAATATATTCTAATTTATTGACAGTATAAAATAATATATTAAAATTAAATGTACTATTTATTATGTAATGACATTTCAACACTTCGTTAAAGTATTTGATTTAAGTATAAAATAAAAATGAAAAACAAAAAAAACAGGGATGCATTAAATAATATAATATAAAAAAGAGTAAATAAAAATTGAATATAAAGAAATAACAAGAAAAATATTATAAATTTAACTTAAATTTTTTATATTATCATTTAATAATAAATTATTCTTTTAGGAATGATTATTAATTTTTATAATAGTTAATATTAAAATATATTTATTATATATTTTAATTAATTAATAGTATAAAAAATTTTAGACTGAAAATATACTAAAAATAAATTTAATATTATTACTGTTTCTTTTTCTTCTCTGCTCTGCGTGGAAACTCCTCAACCACAAAAACAGATCAGGGAACGAACCTCCTCAGTTAATCTAATGGCAGCAAACCACACTTCAGTCATGAAATGACACAAACCATTGATCATCTCTTTTATCTAACCATTCCAAAATCGTCGTTCCTGCAACAAAACCCAGAAAAAAGAAAAGAAAAGAGAAAAATAACATAATGCAAGAAATACCCGTGATAGTAGTTGGAGCTGGAACTTCAGGTATAGCCGCAGCTGCGTGCTTAACCAAGCAATCAATCCCTTACATAATCATCGAGAGAGAAGAATGTTTCGCTTCTTTGTGGCAGAAATACACCTACGATCGTCTTCATCTTCACCTAAGAAAGCAAGTGTGTGAGTTGCCATACTTTCCATTTCCAAAGTCTTATCCTCACTACGTGCCGCGGAAGCAGTTCATAGAGTACTTGGGCACCTACGTGAAGCACTTCAACATCGACCCTTTGTACCAAAGAGCCGTGGAGTTAGTGGAACGTGATGATGAGAAAGGGAAGTGGAAAGTCATGGCTAAGAATAGAAGCTCTGGTGAGGTAGAGGAGTATGGTTGTAGGTTCTTGGTGGTGGCTAGTGGTGAAACGGCTGAACCTCGAGTGCCTCAGGTTTTGGGGTTAGAGAGTTTCAAAGGGAAAGTGATTCATTCAACAGGGTACAAAAATGGGAACGAGTTTGAAGATGAACATGTTTTGGTTGTTGGATCTGGAAATTCTGGCATGGAGATTGCATTAGACTTGGCCAATTTTGGTGCCAAACCTTCCATAATTGTTCGCAGCCCGGTACTTAATTTGTTTAATTATATCTGATTTTGCTAATTCTAGTGTAGAGTTTGGCTATTTAAAATGTTTTTACATATAAGTTTCTTATTTTTATACGCTTAAATCTAACTTTAAAGAGTAAAGTTAACAAAATTGAATTACATGTTGGGGGTATCCATTATTTGGCTTTTAAATTAATTACTTAACTATGACTGGCTATGCTTGTTTTGTACTTCCTTTATCTCCCGTTATGTTATTTAAAAACAAATTATTTATCTCTACTTATTTACTATTTTAGAATATAAAAATATTAATTACTTTTTTTAATAATATTTTTAGTTATTAAGGACAATTTTTGCACAGTAAGTACTCTACTAGTTCTTGGATTAATTCTTATTATCTAATTATTACAATAACTTAAAGATTTTTAATAAAAACATTTTAGTAAAATGATTTATTTAATCATAATAATGAATTATATTTTTTAAAATATATGTATTAGAACTAATTGATATTCAAAATAAGACCAAGAAAGTGTGTGTGAGGAAATGTTTTTGGTTTTACTGATTGAAAGATTGTTTTTATTATTACATATGTAGGTTCATTTTCTTTCGAGGGATATGATGCATTATGCGTCGGTTTTGTTGAAGTATTTGTCGCTAAGCACGGTAGAGAAATTGTTAGTGTTGGTAAGCAGGATCGTCTATGGAGATATGAGCAAGTATGGTGTACCTATGCCCAGTGAAGGCCCTTTCACCATGAAGCTCAAGTACGGTAAGTTCCCAATCATTGACTTGGGAACGGTCAAGAAAATCAAAGCCGGAGAGATCAAGGTACCACCATTTGAAACACAGCAATCCTACCTCTTTCTTCTTCTAAATATGATGAAAGTTTTTATGACAATCAATTACTAGAGTAAACATAAGAATTTATACAAAAATAATAATAATTTTAAATAGGATGACAATTATTATTTTTACATCTCTCTATTTTATTTGTCTTTAATCCTGTTATTGCTCTTTTAAATCCTTGTATTCGATGGACTTTCTTTAATTCTTATTAAAGTAATCGTAAATTATATTAATTTTAATGATAAAATTTACATCAAAACCTATATTGCTATTTTGATTTTGGTCCTAAAGCAAATGCCCACCGAATCACCAAAGGAATCATTTGTGTCTTGTAAGGTTGCATTTCGTGTTTATGAATTTGGCCAATCACTGTAGAACACGTGATTACATTTTTATTAAGAAGAAAAACTAAATTTTATTATATATTGTTTGGTGATTGATAACATTAGAGACGTGTGATAGTTTTGAATCACGATAATTTATATCAGCATAAGCGTGGATGATGGAAGGAAGTGTTTTTCTGAGTGGCATTCTATTATGCTAAGTAGGTGTTGCCAGCAGAAATAGAAAGCATAAGAGGCAACGAAGTGTTTTTTCAAGACGGCAAGTCGCACCCATTTGATTCAATTATTTTCTGCACGGGCTTCAAGAGATCAACTCAAAAGTGGCTTAAGGTTTGTCTCATAATAATAGTTTATGTGACAATTAGTATTGTTCACACTTGTGAAGAGCTATTATGCAAGAGAGTTTAGAATGATACAACAATGTAATTTGTTTGGAACAGGAGGGTGAGGGTGATGATGATCTTCTGAATGAGGATGGTTTTCCAAAGCGTAGTTTCCCAAACCATTGGAAGGGTCAGAACGGTTTGTATTGCGTTGGACTTTCAAGGAGGGGATTTTATGGAGCTAACATGGATGCCCAAAACGTAGCAAATGATATTGCCTCGTTAATTTCTCAAGAAGAAAAAAATGCAATTTGTGTCATGCAAAGCTAGTGCTGTTTGGGATAAATGTTTTAAATGATTTGTTCAAAATAAGGTTTTTAATTTAATTGTGTTTGAGCTATTAAAGTTGAAAAATACAAAGTGAAAAATGTATTGCACTTTTTCAAAATATAATGTGTATGTTGTATGTAACCTAAGTATATGACTTTTATTTATAGCCTAAGTGTATATTTTGATTAAAATTTTGTATCACTTAGTTTCACATGATTTTCTCACCTTTTTTTTTTACAAGCTTTTAATGAAAAGATGATGATCAAAGAAAACATAAAATTATTAATAAAAGAAAACCAATAAATAAATATATATAACTAATTTTCATAAAAAACTTATGATTAAAAAATTATAATTTTTTAATCGAAATATAACATTTTAATAAGTTTTTGACAAATCATAAATAATTTTTCGATAAAATTATAAAGTAAAAAAATGTCAAAATTAATAAAAAAAAAGTTTTGAAGTGCTTTTAAAAAATATTATCTTAACTTTAGTTAATAATTGGTCGACTGTTTCCTTAAAATTGGATCAAATTATTTTTACACGAAAAATTTCAAATATAAATATTTTAAAAAATAGAATATCTGTGTTAATGTTAATACATTATGAGCAGTTATAAATAAAGATACTTGGTAAAAAATCGTACATGATAATAATTATAAGTAAAAATTACAGGCAACTATATTGTAAAATATGTATTTTAAGCAAATATATTATATTTATCTATAAATACGATTTCAAAATATAATTTAAAGGTTTCAATTCTCAACTTAAATATTTATATTTAAAATTTCAATAACTGCGAACATTCTATTAGACTCTGACAAAAACAAATATATTAACAATATTCTATTTTATTAAAAGTTATACATTCATTTTAACTACAATTCAGTCATTTTTTTTAATCTTTCATTATTGTTAAATAGTCATTTCTTTTTACTATTACTTTACTTTAATATTTCTTTTTAATTATTCATTTTTGTCTCTTTCTATTTTATTTCTTTTACATTCTATTTATGACATTATTACTATATTTCATTAAGAAGACGCTATATAAAATTATTTAAAATTTATTTATTTACTAAAAAATTCATTATAAAAAAATAAATTTATTTATTATGTTTGACTGTAAAGTAACCTAATTAGCAACAGAAGCATTAAATATGTAATATGCTGCAATTATTTATTTAAATCATAAGTATCATTTTGAGAAAACAAATTTTATTCGACTTTCATGAAAATTGTCAAAATAATAAAAATTAATAAAGTTGGTTAAATATGATTAATATATTAGACTTCAAACTGAACTAAATTAATAAAGCTCAATCATGTTGATTCGAGAAATAATTTTGTGATTTAAAACCATTAATATATTACTCGAACTAATCGAAGAGTTAAACGGTTGGGAAAAAATTGTTTAGTGAAAAATAACATAGAAAGAAATTGAAAAAAAATAAAAATACAAAGATTTGTCATTTGTGCTTCGTGAAAGTGCCATTTTATCCCTCATTATTTTTTAAAAACAAATTATTATAAGGATAAAACTTCAAATTATATATAATTTATTTATATCTTTTTACTTTTTGGCTATCCATCTTAAAAAACCAAGAACAATTTTATCTTTTATTCTTATTTATCACAGACAAAATGTTTTCTTCATTTTAGTGTATATGTTAAGACATATCAATTAACTGAAATTTTATTTTATTAGATAAAAAATTATTTAATAAAAACAACATTGGCAAAATAGTTGAAATAAATAATTGTTAGTATTTTATAACGCTAGTCGTACATTTTTTAATATTTTTTTATTTTCAATTACTAGCTAATTGAGAATGATTTTTATTTTATTTTTGTCTTTATTATTTTTAAGTAATTCCTTCTTTATCTCTTCAATCTGTTAGACTCTATTTATTTTATTTTATTTTATTACATTAAAAAATGTCACAATCTATCCGAATATATATAGCCAATGGGGTGTTATGAACTATTTTCTATAAATAGCTACATTTAGTCGCATTTACGACAAACTTTTAGGGAAATTACTTTAATTTTTAATGACGTTGAAATCATAAAAAAATATTAAATTTGATTTATTTTTTTATCAAACACATATTTATCAATGTTTTATTAGGATATATAAATATAATTGATTTTATTAATTAACCAATTTTTACACATTAAACGATTACCCTATTAAGAAATAATATGTATACATAGATTTTTATAAAAGATGCTAATATTTAAATTCTAATATATTAAAATATTAATTTTTAAATATTATTGATTGTTAAGTCTTTTAAAGATTAATTTTAATTTTTTATAAAAGTGGAATTATAGACTGAAGTAGATGAGAATCTTACGAGAGAAAAAATTATTTGGTTCCAAAAGTCCCGTTGTAAATGGCTTATGCATGGAGGATAGAAATACTCAATAATATTTTCATGGCAATACCATTGCTCAACCAAGAAGAAGCAAGGTAGATAAGCTAATAAATGATGATGGGGAATGGGTGGAGCAACTAACTGATTTGGAGAGAATGGTAACTTCCTTCTATTCATCTCTTTTCTTTTCTTTTTTTATGCAGGGGCACTTGAACTGTTCTTTGTAAAGACTTATGACAGGTTGAAGTGGGACTTTGTGAAGGACACACTACTTGATATTGGCTTAACAAGACAGTTTGTGGATATTGTGTGGGCAAGCATTTCTTCTCCAAGAATGCGCATGCTTTGGAATGGGGAAGTCCTGTATGAATTTTTACCCTCTCGAGGTATTTGTTAGGATGATCCACTCTCACCATATCTTTTTGTCCTTTGTATGGAGAGACTTTTTCAGCTTATTTCAATGGAGGTCGAAGTAAGCAGATGGCAACCTATCAGACTAGCTAGGGACAGTCCTTCCCTTTCACATCTTGTATTTATCGATGATCTCATTTTGTTCATCAAGGCTTCAATGGATCAAGTAGAGGTAATTCAGGCTTGCCTTGATCGCTTCTGTGCTAGCTCTAGTCAAAAGATTAGCTTGAAAAATACTAGGATATTTTTCTCTAAGAATGTGTCCCATACCGAGAGGAACGATATTGGCTTAGCCTTAGGATTCCAACGTACTAATAATCTAGGGAAGTACTTGGGAATTCCTAATCATCATTTGCTAATTTCGCAGAGTGACTCCCAAAGTGTGATCAATAAAGTAACTAAACGGTTAAGTGGATAGAAAGCCTCTACCCTTTACTTTGCAGGTCAGCTCACGTTATGAAAATCAGTCATTGCAGCTATTCCATCTTACACCATGCAAATGGTTCGTATGCTTTAGAGTATATGTGATGAAGTGGATAAATTATGCCGCAATTTTCTATGGGGTGATAGCTCTATTCAGAAGAAAATTCACACCATTAGTTGGGATACTATATGCATGCCTAAGGAGTGTAGTGAATTAGGACTATGGTCTATGAGAGATGTCAACAACTCCTTCATGATGAGGAATTGTTGGAGCTTACTTACAGAACTTAATAAGCTTTGGGTGAAAGTAGTACGCTCGAAGTATAAATGCCTGGAAGGTACAATATCACGAATTGAGAAGAAAGCTAGTATGTCTAATTTGTGAAAGGTATTTGTTTGAACTAGAAACACACTATTCAGCATGTCCAGTAGCGGGTGAAGGACAGATGTACTACACGTTTTTGGTTTGACACCTGGTTGCCACAACGTTCTCCTCTCATTCAACATACTACTGCTTTTATCCCACTTGTTGAGCTCTTTCGGAAGGTCCATGATTATATAACCGAACAGGGAACATGGAATATTTATTATATTACACCATGGATATCTTAGGAGTTTTTTTAATGGTATTGTATCTCAAACTCCTCCCATGATAAATGCCAGGCCAGATGAAATTCATTGGAGACTTACTACTGATGGTTCGTTAACTATTAGAACTGTCTTTGCAAGCTTGTCATCAGTTGAACCAGTACCCTGTGCTCCAATTTTTAAAGTCATATGGAAATGGCAAGGCTCGAAAAGGATTAGGCTATTCCTTTGGCGTGCTGCACACGAAAGTCTCATGACGAATGGTGCACGTACTAAACGAGGTTTAGAGGTAATTCCTATGTGTCCCATCTACACGTAGGGTTCCAAAGATACCATGCATGTTCTCTGAGATTATAATTTTGCACATGAAGTTTGGAGCAACATGCCTGGTGGCATTACTATTGACCAACCCGTGGAAAGTAATGTTCAAGAATAGATGGTGTTCCACCTAACAAGAAGTCGTACTGGGGAACGAATTGGCCCCTTATTTTTGCTGTCACCATTGATGCGCTATGGCACAGAAAGAATACAACAGTGTTTCAACATTCATTCTCATCGGCAAATCAAATAGTATCTGAGGTAATGGGTCATGCGAAGTCAATAGTCAACACATGCAGAAGATGGCCTAGAATACAACATAATCTGAGGAAATGGAGTTGTCCTCCTACGAGGTTTATCAAGTTGAATGGAGATGGTGTTGTGTCACATGCGGGAGTAAGCTCTTGCCGCGGTATAATTCGAGATTCAAATGGTAGATTTATTATAGCATTTTCAAGAAAACTATACCATTGTTCTGTTATTCAGGCTGAGTTGTGGGCTATTAAATAAAGCCTTCAACTAATTCGTCTTAGAAACTTGGGTACCCGCATTTTGATAGAATCTAATTCCTTGGAGGCAATCACTCCGCTGAAGAATGGATGTCCTCGTCAAAGAGTATAATTCGAGATTCAAATGGTAAATTTATTATGGCATTTTCAAGAAAACTATATCATTATTCTGTCATTCAGGCTAAGTTGTGGGCTATTAAATAAAGCCTTCAGCTAATTCGTCTTAGAAACTTGAATACTCGTATTTTGATAGAATCTGATTCCTTAGAGGCAATCACTCTGCTGAAGAATGGATGTCCCTGTCAAAGAGTATAATTAAAGATTCAAATGGTAAATTTATTATGGTATTTTCAAGAAAATTATACTATTGTTCTGTCATTCATGCTGAGTTGTAGGCTATTAAATAAAGCCTTCAGCTAATTCATCTTAGAAACTTGGGCACCTGCATTTTGATAGAATCTGATTCTGTGGAGGCAATTACTCTGCTGAAGAATGGATGTCCCCATCAAAACACCTGTTTTGATTTGGTACAAGAGATATCTGAGTTAGCAGCTTCATGTGCGGCAGTTTCGTATATTCATATAGGTAGGGAAAGCAACCTAGTGTGAGACTTGTTAGCTAAACATCGTTTCTTAAAGGAGAATATAATTGTTTATGATTCGCCTCCTATTTTGATATACCATTTGTTAGCTGCCAACTTTGCGAAAGTTATGTAATTTTTTGTTTTTGGACTGTTAGCTCCCTCACTCACTAAAAAAAAAAGATTAACAAACACACTAATGGTAATTTTTACAATAACTTTGATAACATTAGTCTTTAAAAATAATTTTAAGCATTTAAAATAATAATTTTAAAAAATATTATACTTCCATATTTTTAACATAATATATTTTTAAAAGTAAGTATTAATTAATATTTAACTTCTTCTATGATTTTTATGCATTTTAAACATGATATCTAGTATTTTTTTAAATTTAATAAGTATCCTTAAATGTATTAGTTGCATAAAATCAGTCTAAAAAAACTGACTTTAACATGTTCCTTTTTTCAAAGCAAAAAAATATCGATTAACTGAGTTCCGTTTTAGAAAAAAGAACACAAACAGGTTCGTCCAGCAGAGTTAAGGAGTTAATTCACAACGTTCAACGTCACTCTTTAATTTCTTTGATTAATTGACTTCTTCAGTTGCCTTAAACAGAAACCCAACCACCAATCAAAGCAGAGAATTAAGGAGTTGGAAATATAGCTCAACGATTTCAACATATTTATTATATATCTTTTCCCTTTTTTCTTCTCAGTGATTCTCTGTGTACTTCCATTATCATTTTCATTATCGATCAAAGTCATATGATAGGTTACGTATCATGAGTATTAATAATGTCTTGTAGTGTAAAAAGTGACTAATTAATGAGTAAATAGGTAATTTAATTCTTAAAAAATAATAAGTTTAAACAAAGATGAAATTTTTAGAAAAGTATAACTTACAATTATTTAGTAACTGAATAATGATAATTACAGATGTAATGTTCTAACTATGCATTTAGTCATTAAATTAATTCTTAAACGGGTCACCTTTGGATTTTAACAGGATTGTGGTTAAGCTGCTTAGAATGTTTTGAAGAACAAGTGTTTAAGATTGTCATCATTTGTATTTATCGAGGGGAGACAGCTTTACACGGAGTCAATATTAATGTATAGGTGTACAAGATTGAGGGGCTTCAAATTCCAGCATGCGTGCCAGTCTTCAGGGACTGAGCAAATAAACAGCAAAATAGAAACCTTCACATGCAAGCAGCATTGATATTGCTTCACTTTTTAGCTTTTGAGTTGCTTATAAAGGAGCTAGCAAGGAAGATCAGGTTCCCCTCAATTAGCATCCTCAATAGGAGACACTAGCTTTTATTGTAACTTTTTTTAGGTATAAAGAGTAGTGTCCCACAAGAACAAGATCTTAATAAGTGAAAAGAAAAAACCTCTTCCAAGCTAACAGAAATCATTCATTTGATGTGATGGGATTATGGCAGGTAAAGATTTACATCATATGTTTAGAGAAATTTTAACAATGTATTTTATGGGATTAATTTATTTTTTTTTAAATTATAACATTTGACTTAAAATTTATCATGTTTTAAAATCTATTATAACTTTTTTTTAAAAATTAAACAACTATGAAAACATATGTTAAAAAATGTATCACTAAAATATTAACATGCTTATGCATAGTAGTGATCATAAAGAGTATAGTATTACCATGCACATCAGTCAAACAAAAATTTCCACTTTGGCCGGTAGATCAATTGAATGGAATTAAATGTATATACAAAGGGAAAAGAGAGAAGCAAAGAAGAAATGATCAGTTTGTTTGTGTTGAATCTTGATTGCTATAATGTAAAGAGAAAGTACTTTTGTTTCCTTTAAAGTAATCAAATAAATGAGGAAGAACCAGTGTTTCTTCTCATATCTGCTTCATTTATTCTTTTCATTGTTATTTGTTTTCATTCTACTTCTATTTTTAAAGTAAATAAGAGTAATATTGTTACATAAAAATTAATTTAATGAGATTAAGTTAGACTGGAATAATTCATGCATCCAAAAATAAATAAGTAACCCAACCCATTTTGTTAAAAAAACTAGTTTTATATAATTGAAATAAATGGTACTAGAGAAAGTCAACTAAGAAAAAATTATAAATAGAAACTGAAGATTTAGTTTGAGTTTATTTATAGTTGCATTTTTTCAGTTTATTGGTTGGCACGATTTATGGGGTTTTTTCATTTACATGGAATATTTTCCTTTAAAGTTTATTAAACTAGTATAACTTTTAAAAAATAAATACTAAAATAGAGAATGACTTATTTTATATATACAAATTTGTGGCGGCTTTTAAATGGTAAAAAATTACTTTATAAATATCGTATCTCTTTATCTTTCTCCTCATCTTGTGAATATCGTAACATTAACTATCAGATTTAATTTCCATTTTTCTAGTGTCCAAATTGAGCCTAACTTTCAATTGTTTATCTTAATCTTATTTTCAATTTGAGAAAGCTGCGTGGAAATTCACAGCACTTTTGAAAGTCTAAACCATATGCATTGGATAACCTCAAATGTCATATACTGTCCCAAAAATTCAAAGGCACAACTTACGGTTCCCAAAAGCAAGCGTGTTTATGATTTATTTCTTCAACTCGAAGAAATCTTGATTAAGGATAGATATGCCATCTGGTCTACTATTTCAAATTCTAATCCTTTATGTCCACAAACACTTTATTTTTCTCTGTCACATGTTTTCTTGTATGTATTAGCCAGTGGGAACACGTATTTCTCATCAACATCGCCAATAAATATCACGAGGAGAAATAAATCATATTTGACTTTTTCTTTCTGTAAAAACGATGTTAAGGATATAATTCCTTTTAATTAATGATAGACCCGATTATTATAGTGTTTTATAAGTTAATCCTCATGAAACATTACAGTTTATGTTTTTGCCTTGTTAGAGTAGACAAATCATATTGTGTCATGAAAAAACCTTTTCATATATTTAATCATCTAATTTGAGCTCATCAAATTAATGAATCTTAACATTATTATCAATAATGTGTTTGAAAGAAAAGAAAAAACTGAGTTTGAATGTGTTACACAAGAATATAAAGTGCCCCACTTTATAACTGATTACATATCTCTACTTTTCTTTTATTTAGTCTTAATATGTTTTTTTTTATGAGTTTTATTAACCCCAACTCTATAATAAGTAGTTAATAATAATAAAATTTTGTTAAAAAAATTTTATTATATTTTTATAACTTTAATATAATAATTATATATTTTTTTATAAATTTTTTTATTTATATATATTTAAACTCAGCACTAAAAGCTGAAGTTTGAAAAAAAAATTAAAACAAGCACTGTATATTAATTTCTCGTTGCTTAATACTTGCAACTTGGCTATTATTCTTTTGTTACCTTTACATATATTTATACATATATACACAAGGATTTGTTTATATTTTTTATTAAATATTATTTTTTTTAAATAATTAAAATTTATATTATAAATATATCAATACACTTTTTAAAAAATTATGCATTTTTATTTATCAAATAAAAAATATTATTAATTTAAATAACATCAGACAAAATTACTGAATAGAAATATAAAATACTTTATTATATACAACATTTTACATATTTTCATATTAAATTCAATTGATTCTCATTATTTTTTAGTTAGTTTTTATAAATTTATAAATTATAAATAAATTTATACATAATTAAACCATATCAATATAAATATGTAAAATATTAAATTATAATTTTTAGTAAATTTTACATGAATATATCAATATAGATAAATATTTGTTTAAACTAATTTTATAAAAAAGTAAATATATATTTAAAATATAATGATTAATAAATATTTAAATAAATAAATAAATAAAAATAAATCTTAAAAAGTAAATTATATTTTAGTAATAATTTATATATAACATATAACTAAGTATTTTAATTGATGATATAAGATTAATGTTATAGTGTAGTTAATTTTATATATATTTATAGTTAATCAATTGCTATTATTTTTTTAGAAAATTTTTATGAATATTAAAATTATAAATTTAATATTAATAATTATTTAAAATTATTATTAATTCTATTTTTTATGAATTAAGTCTGATTTATTTTTATTATTTTTTAATTAATCTTTTGAAAATATTGACAGTTATAAAATAAATATATTTAACTCTAGTTATTTCATTTACTATTATTTTTATAAATTATAAGTGCAGTTAATTTAACATATTTTTAAAAAAATATTTATAATTAGAAAATAAATAAATTTAACTCTCACTATTTAATTTATTTTTATTTTATATATATAACCTTTCCTTGGTCTTAATTTCTCTGCGTCATCCTTACCTTGTCTTTGTTTTGTAATAATCATACAGATCCATAAAACAGTGAGGAGAATGCAGGAACAGAAGCAGGTAGTGATAATCGTTGGAGCAGGCCCTTCTGGGCTTTCAGCTGCTGCATGCTTCACAAAGCATTCTATTCCTTACATAGTTCTCGAAAGAGAAGATTGTTTTGCTTCTCTGTGGAAGAAATATTCCTATGATCGTCTTCACCTTCACCTTAGGAAGCAGTTCTGTGAGCTTCCTCACAAGCCATTCCCACCATCTTTCCCTTCGTATGTGCCAAAGAAGCAGTTTTTGCAGTACCTTGATGAGTACGTGTCCCACTTCGGAATCACCCCTTTGTACCGAAGAACAGTGGAATATGCAGAGTACGATGAAGGGTGTGAGAAATGGAGGGTGAAGGCTATTAATGGGGAAACTGATGAGGTTGAGGAATATTTTGGGAGGTTTTTGGTGGTGGCTACCGGAGAAACTACTGACCCTTTTGTGCCTCAGGTCAAAGGGTTGAGTAGCTTCCCTGGGAGAGTGCTTCATTCAACTGGCTTTTCTTCGGGGAAGGAGTTCAAAGATGAACATGTTCTGGTTGTTGGGTCTGGGAATTCTGGCATGGAAATCGCATTGGATCTTGTCAACCATGGTGCCAAAACTTCCATTGTTGTTCGAAGCCCGGTAATTCATATATAAAAATTGTTAATTAATTTTATATATGATTTTATCAACATCATTTTAAAGTCTTTTATTTTCAATTAAAAACAATTATTTTAAATATTTAAACCCATCATCAAAAGTTTAAACATACAAAATTATAATAAATGTTCTATTTTTCAAAGAACTAACCTTAACAAAGCGGTTAATATATTGATCAAGGTTAGTTTAAGTTATCATAGGATAAATAATTTTATTTTAAGTAAACTAATAAAGTTAAAACATTTTATTAAAAGCTGTATTAATTTTTTATAGGCAAAATATCATTAGTCTGGTTAAAATATGATTATTTACCCAATGAGATAAATATTACACAAATCATATATATTAATCATGTCATGTTTATAAGAATGGGCACCGCGAGGAAAGAGATTAGTTAAAATTTTATTTTAAAAAACTCATCACATAATAGAGTAATCATAACTTAATGATGCATGATTTTGTGAGTATAAATAAATTATGTGTAAGCTTGGTCTTTCTGTCGGTGTTTTGACTTGGTAATCTTGTTTTCTGTTTGTATTGAGGTAAAGGAAATTAAAAGCAAATATAATTATGATTAAATTTGGATTGACTTCAATGGGTGTGTCTGTGACGTATGCTAACACAGTGCAGACAATACAATGTTTTTACAAATAGGTTCATTTTCTGTCGAGGGAAATGGTAAGTTTGGGGTTGTTTCTTCTGAAGTATTTGTCGTTGAGGAGCGTGGACTCGTTAATGGTGATGCTTAGCAGAATGGTTTATGGGGATGTAACAAAATATGGGGTTGCAAGGCCCAAAGAGGGACCCTTTTATATGAAGGTCAAATACGGCAAGTATCCAGTCATTGACGTTGGAACCTACCGCAAAATCAAGTCTCGAGAGCTAAAGGTACCTTTAAAGATAGGTTCTTGTTGGTGTAATTTCAACATGGCATGTTGGAACTTCAAACTTCAATTAAAGCAAAAAATTGCCAAATCATGGTTTGGTAGTACCTATCTTCTTTTAAAATATTTTTTTCATGTTAAAAAATAAAAACACCTAATATTTATATGTTAATTTTATGTTTGCTTGTTGATATTTTGGCTAATTTAGCATCTGCATGTCTGTTTGAACTAAATAAATTTTTTTCATAAGTTATATACTGTTTATGTTTCTTTATTTTATGAAAAAAGATAAATTTATTTTTAAGTTACTAAAGAAGTTTATTTATTTTTATATTATTTTTAAAAAAATTTCTAAACTGGATTATGTTAATAAAAATAATTAATAAGTTAGTCAAATATAATTATGTTTTCCTAAAACTGAGAATAGTTGATAATTTTCTGAGAGGTAGTATAAAATCTGAAATAATAATTACTTAATAATAAATAAAAAAACACTACTAAAAGTTAAACGTACTTTTCAATCTAGTTGAACTTTAGCACCAATAGAGAAAATTAAAGTATCTTTATTCGTGACATATGTCAAAGTTGTTTATCTTTGTCTTTTATAATTTTTAAATGGATATAAATGTCCTTTTATTTAAAAAAATTTATACAAGATAATAAATTATCTTTATTACTAGTGAATTTTTTAAAAAAAATTATTAAATTAATTTCACATAAATTACCCTAAAATTTTATGTCTCACTGATGTTTATTTTTATTCCATCAAGTTGTCCACTTTTACGAAGGTAAGTGCCAAATTTTTTTATTTGGGTTGATTACTTGTAGAATGTAGCGTTCTTTAAACGGAGATCTAACAAATTAGGTTATTTAATTCCTTCAAGTTGGACTATAAAAAGCCCATAATTTTATTTGGGCTACAAAATAAAACTTTAAATCTGATTGAAACTTGTTTTTTATACTTAAAAATTAGATTGGATTAGACCAAACAAAAAAAAGGGACTAATTTAGAATTCAATTTAAAAAGTTTGAATGAGCTAAAAAATTTAAATTTATAATTTATACTTTAGTAAACTTAATCACATTATTTTGATCCTTTCTATTTTTTCTACTTACAAGTGTAGCAAACAAATTGTCTCTAACTTGTGTGTTGTCCCTCAATATATTATATACATCCATATGAACCATAGTTAGGTTAACTGTTTGGTTTTCTAGCTAAAATTAAGTCACTTACACTTTAAGATTCATATGAGGTATAAAGATGGTTTCAGATATTGTTCACCTATTTTAACACAGAAAAGTGCTTGATGTTTATGTTACGTGACAAAACAGCATTGTATTGTGTTTTGTAGGTATTGCCAGCAGAAGTAGAAAGCGTACGAGGCAAGGATGTCCTATTCAAAAATGGTGAATTGCACTCATTTGACTCCATTGTTTTCTGCACTGGCTTCAAGAGATCAACCAATAAGTGGCTTAAGGTTTGTAATTCAATTTAGTACCCCGTAATAATAAAAAAAAGTGTTAACTTCAACTATTTGACTTATATTTATAAACCCATAATTAATTATATAATGATATAGCTAACAATGAATTAATGTTAATGGTAGGGGGATGATTACCTTCTGAATGATGATGGTCTTCCAAAGCCGAGTTACCCCATCCATTGGAAGGGAAATAATGGTCTGTACTGTATTGGACTATCAAGAAGAGGTTTCTATGGCGCTGCCACAGATGCTGAAAATATAGCAAATGATGTAATAAGCTCCATCATGCAACATCCCTGAGAAGAAATTCAACCAACATTTTTGCTAAATGCATGAAGTTTTCAAACATAATTATTATTACCATAAATCATTAATATTTTCCACATTCTCTTGGTTATTTTTTAGCTGCCCATTGATGTTAGATCCTATAATCTGGAAATAATGTGGGCACAGTATATTTATGTATAATCTCAATATACAGATTTATATATGTTAAAAAGTTGTATGTTTTTACACTCTACATTTTACAACACCTTTTTATATCTCTTTTTTTATTCTTTATTAATTTCATTTGCACACTTTTTTTTTTAAATATAAAAATATAATTTTCCCATATCAAGGTATTTGACAATTAAACAGATGTCAATATATACTTGTAACTTTTTCCCGCCTCATTTTTTTTCATTGACAATTGGAATTATATGGAGTATTGTTTTCTTTTTTCCTTTCATTCTTGAATTATTGCCAATAATAAACTTTGATTTTACTACAGCTTAATTTGGAATGTATTTTGGCGCAACCAAATTGATGCCTTACAAAGACTAATTTAACCCAATTCAGACCCTCACTCTCTCCTCATAAACTCACTCAGGAAATGTAGGTCCCTGGCTGCAGGGTGTTAATGGAATGGGTGGCAGAACTATTCCACCTCTGGCCTGTGGTTTCTGAACATAAAAGAGAACAGAATAAAAAGGAGTTTTCCTGTGAGAAATGAATGCACAGATCACAAAATCAATGCATTTAAAGAGCTAACCTGCGGATCAAAATGCTTTTAATTAATGTGTCCTATGATCAATTTCCTCCCAGGATAGATATTCTATTTTAATACTTCTTCCTATCTTTTTATAATAAATATACAAATAATTCATAAAGATGAATAAAAATTAATTGTATATCATAACTTTGTTATCTATTTAAAAATTGAGTTTGCATGTGTGAAGCTTAAACATTTACGCTTATTTATAATTTGTGTATAAAAAAATTGACTAGTTTAATTATTGAATTATCTTATATTATATTTATGATAGTATATATCAAATTTAACATAATTTGTATATTTGTGTGAATATTATTTAAAAGTTGATATTTATTTATATTTTAAAAATATATTAGACGTTAAAATAAAATAATGCAATGAAATAATTATTATTTTTAATAAAAATTTACAAAATTAATTTATATATAAATTAATCAATTTTATATTATATAAAGAAAATATTAAAAATATATGTTTAAGTTTAATACTTAATGTCAATAAATTTTAACTTTTAAAAATAACTGACAATAAATGATCAAATTAAGGACTTACATGTTAAATAAATGAATATACTTCCTTATTACTATAAATATTATAATAAATAAAAATATAAAAATAACTTAATAATTTGTATATATAAGAATGTGTTTGTTTCCTATAATTTTGATAAAAAAAATTGCGATATATAGTTGTTTTTCATTAGAAGTAAAAACAAAAAATATTATAAAAATATTTTTTTATATTTTATTAAATTTATTGAAAATTATAAATATATAAATATAAATTATTAAATTAAAAATAAATTTAATAATTTTTTATATTTTTTAATAATTTTTAAGTAATAATAAAAAATATATAGCTAATAAATTTTTGTTATCTCCTATAGTGATTTTGCTAATTTTTCTAATGTCACCTACATAGGACTTTTGGTGTTAGTTTCACTTGGTAGCTTTCTAAATATTCTACAACTAGAAAATGTTTATCATAATTCCACATGCTAGTGCAGACATGTTATTTAAACATTTTAATTTTAATTATACTCATTTTTTTATCATAATAGTTTGGAAAATATATTTTAAAAATAGGTGAAAACAAAAGCCTAAACAAAAACGTAAAAAAAATAATCACAATTACTGTTCCTATAATTAAACATAAATCGTTTATAGACTAATCAACCGTGGAACTTGCTGTATTCTAAAAAAATTGATTAATATCTTATAAGTCAATAATTGTTAAATGACCACATAATTATTTAGAAAATAACACAAGTAAAATAATCTGCCTGACATTAGTTGATCATTGGTCAATATCTATTGGATTACAATAATTATATTAAAGTATTTTTAAGAGGGTGATTAATTAAGTTAATTATGTTTTTATTTATTTATTTTGACATGTACAGCATTGTACATAACAATAAATTAATTTTTTTTATTAAAAATAATAAAATTTAATGAAATTTCAAATATTAATATTATTAAATATTATAATTTTTAATAAAAAATGAATCAAAGCTTCTTATTCTGTATAATATTGTATCAATTAAATTTTATTCTTTTATTTGATATAATAATTATTTTATTTTATTTTAATTTAACTTTTTTTTTATAATATCATCTATAGTTAATATATATTTTTAAAATTACACCTTTAATAATTAAATAAATTTTTTAAGAGAAAAATTAATATAATATAAGATATACTATAAAATTTTACCATCAAACATGAATTAATAGATACGAAATAATTTTAAGTTCAAATCACATTAAATGTAGATATAATTAAGTAAATGGAGATGTAATTAATTATCTAGAGGAGTGAACTTTGTTAGTTAAAAAAATATATATTATAAATTTTTATCAATAAATTTTATAAGAAAAATTTAATTGTAACTTTTAATTTTTATGTCATAATCTTAAGTAATAAATAAATAATATAAAGAATAATATTTACAGTAAAAATTAAATCAAAATTAAAATTAATATCATGCATTCATTGCATTGCATACCAATACTTGAATCTTTTGCAGTTAAATTTTAATTACACTAAATTCAATATTAACTTTAATAATTTATTATTAGATTTATATTTTTCAAATAAAAAATTACTTATTTGAATAATTAATATTAAAGGAAAGCAAAACACCAAAAACGTAAAGTGACAGCACAAACATATATTAAGGGTTGAATGACGTGTCTGTGAGCGTTGAAAACCGAATAACATCAGGTACGGTCGGACTGCGGCTAAAGGAATTAGTTCTGTCATTTTTGTCTTTTCTCGAATGCTTCAGGCTCTCAATGTTGTGCTATTTCTTTCATTTATAACTGAATTTAAAGAATAAAAATAATATTTTTTATTAAAAATATATTTATTATATTTTATAATTTGAATATAGTAAATTTATTTTTTAATAAATTTTATTATTTTTGTATATTTAAATTACCTTTATGAATTAAATTTAAAAATATTTTTTTATGAAAATTATATTTATTATATTAAAATTATAGAAATATGATGAATGTATTTTTAATGATTTTTTACTACTTAAGTTTTAACCCTAAAATATTTTATGTTATTACTTTTAGTTTTTTTAATGGTAATATTGTTTTCTAATTATAAAAATAAAATTTTAATTTTTAAAATGTTTATTATTATTTGTTATAAGATATATGTTAAAAAGACATTTCTATACTACTCATATTATAATTAAATATATTTGTATTATATGAATATATTTTTAAATTTATTATATCTAATTACTTTTTATTAGTTTTGATAAAAAAATTATTTTTGTTTATAAAAATCAAAGAGAATAGTAGATATCGATTGAACATTTTTAATTTATCAACAATTTCAGATACAAAGAAAGTATTAATCATTTTTTAATAATGAATTTATTTATTTTTACTAATTATCTATTATAATAGCTTTATTATTATTCTAAAATTATTTTTTATCAACTAATTACTGCAATATTCTTAGCACTTTTAACAAATATATTTGAATAAAATTTATTTATTTAGCACAATAATGTGTGTGTGAGTACTATTTTTATTTTATATGTAATTTTAATTCATTTTATATATAATATTGTTATTTTAAATTTAGCTTAAATTTTTATTTTTATTTATTTTTGTTTTGGATTAAATTCTTTATTTTTTTATTTTGTTAACTTTTTTAATATGATTCACATTTTTTAGAAATAAAAAATATATAATGTGATTAGACAATAACAATTATCAAATTAATGAGCTTGATTTGGTTCAAATAATATTAAATATATTTTAATATAAATTCTATCAGAAGTATGATATTAGTGTAAGGCTGAGTTTGGGATCGTTGTTTTAATAAATCGAATAGTTTCAGTTTTTTCAACTTGGACCACATGGGCACAAAGTCTGCATGGAATAGGACCAGGCCAGATAACTCAAATTAACAACTTTAACCAGTCATGTTTATATTATAATCTCACTGATAGCAATTGTTGATCCCGAAACAAAAATGACATTGATTGCCAACTCTGCCATGCTAGATCTTAGGTGGCTACTTTTTTGTATTTACTTCCCATTCTAGATAAGATTTTGCCCCAGGCAAGGTAAAGAAAAGCATAACACACACGTTGATATCAAACTAAAAAGTCCAATTGTCTTTTGAGTTTTTGTTGATCAAAGTTGTATTGATGTTATGTGTTTCAGTGTTTCTTAACACCAAAAAGGCTAAATACATAATAGTTGTAATATAGGTTAGTCCAATCTTGCAACTTAGTTAATGGTTAATCCCAGCACTAGCTAGCTAATAAAAATAACAGTGGAGGAAAACTGACTAAAAGAGGTGAAAAACTAAATTACAACATTCACCTGGTCTTTTATCTGCTACTTGCTTTACACTTCAACCGAATGCTTTCATTTATAGTTATCTTTTAGTAGCTTGGGAACTTCTTTTATCTAGAGGACAAAGATTCTATTCCTTGGTATGATCGTCTCATTAAAAAGAGAATCTTTGTGTTGTGCTTATACTCACTTTACTCTAATATGTTAATCTATTGTATACCCATCAACTTGTAGATAGTCCAGCTTTTCTAAAGCTCATAAAATTAGCAAATAGTTTTGATAACAGCGATTGCGGTGTTGGTGATCATAATGGTTAGGGGTGGGGCAAATTTCATGTCTCGTATAAATAGAATGGAGAAAAATGAGTCCAGATTAGATCTTGGGTCAGGTAAAAGAAAGCAATTTTGATTGAATAATAATCATCAGATTGGGTTCCTGGAATTGTCGTTCATCAGAATTTGAACCCGACCAGAAAGGAATGCTCAATGCCCCCCAGTGAGATTTTTAAAAAGTCATGAAAAAAATATCATTTTGAAATTGAAACTAAAAAAAGTGTTCTCTTTCAATATTTCACTTTGTCTCTTGCCCTCTTGGTCTTCCCTCTCGATTTCTCACCCTCTAGCAATCTCACTTTTCTCTCGTCCACCAACATGATGTTCTTCCCTTTTCTTACGTTGTTGCACCATCATGTTATTCCTTGTCCTTGCATAGTTGTTATGTTATAAGTCTGTGGTGAGAGAGGGCTAGCAAGGATGATCAGTGACAACTAATGGTGGTACAATTTTGGGTGACAGGTACAACGATGATGCTAAGTGTGACTAGGTAGTTGACATTTTCGGTGGTTGACAGTGGCTTAGGGAGGCCGTGACGATGGTTGCTGATGCATATATAGTTGCCAACCTGTTTCAACCCACCAGCAAACCTGTTCAAATGCCACCTAATCAACCGAAGGCACAATTCAGGCAAAAGTGGAACAAGTATTCACGTGATCAATTGCGTAATTTGAGCCTAAAAAATTGATACTAATTGATGTTCAGCCTTAATGGCAATGATTATAACGATAATCAGAACTGAATTCATTTAAAAAATTGTAAACATGATTTTTAAACGAAAATTTGTAAATCCAAAAGTTAATTTTAAGATAAGATTATCCACAAAAGAAATTTACTAAACAATGAATGAGTAATTTAACTTATATCACTTTTGTTATATAAAAAAAAAAAAAGTAATTGCCCGCGACACAAGTTAGATTGTCATCAAAGGCTTAGATTTGTGTAATACGTACGGGGATGAAAATTCACCTAAAATTTCTGACTAGTCCTCTCGTAACCCGTAAAACATTTATTTTGCTTACCTAAATGCTCCTATCCCATTTGATCATTGGAGTTTCCAGTTTGGACATTGTACTAGAAACCTTGATGCTCGAGGCTTGCTAAACATCAAATTCAGCGTTTATTTATTTAGATGGAGTAGCTCAACTCAAGGTAGCTATCCCCTATCCTCGGGATTTTTTTTATAACTAGCAATTTATTTTTGTACTTCTTCCATCAGACAGTCCTTTCTCTAATTACTGAATTCTTGATGTGCCCTTAAAAAAGAAAACTTTATCAACAAACTAATAAAGTCTATAAAATGGTCCATTCACTTAATGTTTCATAGGAGGAAAAACCCAGCAAAAGTTATAAAGTGGTTTGTAATTTGGCTACTTACATATGCATATATCATCATCCGACGTTTATTTTAAACGAAAAAAAGATGATTATTTAAAAATATATAGTTCAAGAAGCTGCTGAATTGATCATGGAAGGTGTCTGATGTGAATTTTGAAAATGATGGGTTTATGTTAAATGTTAAAGCAATTAATAATTAATTATAAGAATGAATTTAAGATAGTGTACTAATGAAATAGTGATGCAGCAGCAGAGGAGGCATAATAGCCTGAGCGGTGTGAATGGGGTGAGTCGTACAAGCATTCTGCAATCACTGACGCCTTACTCTGCATGCAAAGTACCCGCATGCCCATCCCTCACCTCACGTTCCTCTCTTCTCTCTCTCTATTTCCCTATCTCACTTTCATTTTTAATACGAAATGATGATTATTATATTACAATCTATTATCTACATAAACAATTGAAATCAAACGGCTGTGGTTAAGCAGTGAGAACACGCTCCGAGATAAAGAGAAAAAGGAGGCAATGCATGGAGAAGGCGATAAAATCAAAGGGGCCTCGATCGTATCGGCGTAGGTTAGCAAACAAACAACGGCAGCATATATGAGCATTGGATATAGAGAGAGAAACGAGAAAGCGTGGTGAGAGTTGCAACCTGTACGAATGATATATGGTGGAACAATAAAAGCAAAGGCCAAAGAAGGGTCTTACCTTGCACCTGCGCGCACTGGAACGCACGTTCTTCACTCGGCAGTTGAGCTGAGGCGTTACCCCAACCTGGCGTGGTAATGGAAGGTGAGTGAGTGAGAGAGAGAAAGAAAGAAAGAGAGAAACTCACAGATACACATACACATGCAATGGTACTTTGTATAGAGAGAGAAAGAAAGAGGGAACAAGGGTCCGCATTGTGTGAAGCAAACTTGAATGACGTTGTGTGAAACGTTTTTTGTTTTTATTTTTTTCTGCTTACAACACGACACGCCTCAGCTCTTAATTCTCACTTGTCCTTATTTTCTGTTTCTCTTTTTCCCTTTTTTTTATATTTCTCCCTCTCCTCTCTCAGTTCCTTCTGTGCTCTCTCTTTCTCTCTTCTTCACTCTGTTTGTTTCCTCCGCCTGCGTTTTCATTCAATGAGGAGAAAGAGAGATATGGATGCTGCTGCCATAGACGCTCTTTGCCATGAACAAGGTATGTCTCACCCATCCAAGCAGCTTAACTTTTTTATCGTTTCAATCATCAATTAATCATATGGTTTGTGTTAATTATTTGTTTATGGTGATGAATAGGTGCGAATGATGATTTGTATGGTGCACTGTGGCGTGCATGCGCGGGAGCATCGGTTTATGTTCCCAGCATTGGAGAGAAGGTTTTGTACTTTCCACAGGGTCACTTGGAGCAGGTTTCATCTCTTTCCACACCATTTTTCTGTCTTGTTACCTCTTTTTTTGGTTCAATCTTGTTCTCGTTTCTGTGGATGAACTTTGTGTGTGCTCTCCTGTAAAGCGACGATGGGAACTTCCGAGGTTGTCATGTCCTATGCTTCACCCAAAAAAAAAAAAAGTTTTGTCATATGCATATTAAATCTTCACTTTTTTTTAAAAGAAAAAAGTTGTTGAATGATAAATATATTATTTTTATTTTTATTTTTATTTTTAATATAAATGAGATTTTAGTAATTGGTGAATATTTAATATATTAAATTATTTTTATTTATAAATTTTAGTATGTTTTTTATATTTAATTACGATTTTATTATTTTTGTATTTTTTATAAGAATATAATTGATAAAATTATTATTGGTGCCTTCTTGAATTTTTAAAATATTCAACCTATAGAAATAAAAAAATTTTGTTCACGAGTTATAAATCAAATTTTAAAACGTTTGTCAAGAAGGTATATAATAAATAATAATTTTAATAAAAAATATAACATTTAATAATAATATTTTATTAAAAATAATTAAATAAAAAAATTAAATATTTAATAAAAATAAAGGTATTTATTACTTTATAAAAGTTTAGGAATAATATAGTAAGTGTTTTTGTGTTTTTTTTTTTTTTCAGATATTTACTTTGGCGGTGATGTATTTCAATCTTTTGTACGCTACGCAAGTAAAATTTTAATTTTAATCAAAGAATAATAATGAAAATATTTATGTTCCTATACCTAACTTTGTCCTACCTGTTATATTAAAATCATAAAACTATTTATTATTATTTTATTAAAGCAATAGAAACATATAATAGAATCTATTGAATGTTTCTCACGCTGTTACCCAGCATTCTTTATTAACAATTCAATTTTCTTTGAAAATAATCTTCTCATTAAATTTTAACTTGACAATGTTTAAATTTTGGGTAAATACTTTTTCTTAATGGACATTAAATATATTTTTACTTATTTAATGTTAATCGAAGATAGGTACAAAATTTAATTATGACCTCCAATTCACGTAAGAGGATCCGTTTCTTCTTTCCTAATTATCCAAGGAGTTTAATAAAAAAACACTAGAGCGTTTCAATTACAAAGATTAAAAAATTGATCGCATCATTATTTTATTATTTTTGAAGTGTTTAATATATTTTTAGAATTTAATTAAAATATTATGATACTGTTATTTAAATAATTATTGAATCAAGGAAAATTATTATATATTTGATTTAAAATTTATATTTATCACATATCCCAATTAATTGATAGTATAAATTTTTTAATACTGACAACACATAAAAATAAATTTATATTTTTATTAATTATTTAAAGGGTTATTAAATTAAATAATAACATTAGTTGACTAACTTTATAAGATTTACATTTTTCACTTCTATCTTGTAACTTTTATTTGCCCATAGAAGACTCTGGAGTGGCTGAGGCCCTTTATTTATTTACTTTTTTGGAACTGTACATGTTTGGCTTTTTAAAATTTAATAAAAAGCACTAAAGCGTTTCAGTTAAAACAATTAAAAATACGTAGCATTGATATATTTTGGTTTTTGAATATTTAATGTATTTTTTTAAATGGTTCTCATTTAATATCTTTGGTTGATATTAAAGAGGTCTATTAAAATAATATTAAATAAATAAATAAATTATTACACGAAACAACTGTATTTGCCACATTTGTTAGGTTTACAGTTTTCTCGTTTCTCTTCCAATTTTCGCTTTCTCGTCTGTGTTCCCCAGAGAGGTGTAAGCGTTTTAGCTGAAACGATTGAAAAATAGATAGCATTATATTTAATGTATTTATTTTTAAATTTTTTCATTTAATTTTTATTATTTAATTATTAATTTTTAACAATAAATCTATACAAAAAATATTTTTTAGTTTTATTTATTAAATTTATTTTTTATTTAAAAATATTTTTGTATATTATTTATTTATTTCTTTTCACTCATCTAAATAAATAGGAATTCTTTATTAGTTTTTATTTTAATTTATTTCAATAAATTTTATTCTCAAGCTTATGATAAGTTTTTATATATGTATATATTTTAAATGAGTGGTTAATTAAATTCGTTACCCAAACGTACCATGTCTTGCTAGATGAGAACCCTCGTTGACAACTTTCAAATTCTTCTGCTTACTAGTGTGCTTGTTCTGAAAAAACATTGTATTTACTTGGCATAGTTTTATCTGAATATTCATATACAAGTTAAGCTTTACATTAAAATGATCTTCCACTGTTTCCCTAAATTTGGTACCAAGTCCTAAATTATACTAGACTGAACATTTACTTGTGTTCTGAAAAAAAGGTAACTTGTTTGCTTTATATGGTTTTTTTTATAGAAAACCCATATTGTCTAATTTCTAACCATTACCATTTCATGATCTAATTAATCATTGGAATCTGGAATAGGTTGCTGCATTTGCCCAGCATCAGCAAGATGGTCACATGGAAATTCCCGTGTTTGATTTGCCTTCTAAGATCTTATGCAAGGTTATTGGTGTTCAGTTAAAGGTAGTGTCACCTTTCTAATCGGGTTAATTAGATCACACGTTTAATGAATATTGGAAATGATGTACTTTATTTGCTTTTCAGGCTGAACCTTACACAGATGAGGTTTTTGCCCAAGTTACATTACTTCCTCAGCTCAAGGTTATCTCCTTTGTCTTTTTATATTTATGTGAAAAAGTGCACACTCTTGCTGTTTTTCTATATATCTGTTTCAAGTGTAACTATTGTTATTATTATAGTTATGATTAATTAAATTTTTTAAGTATCTTTTGTTGGCAGTTGGTTCTTTCAATTATGTTAAATTAGAATGTGATATAGTTTAATCTTGAATAATGAAATGTGAAATTAGCTTGGACAATGTAATCATGAATAATGTATTAATAGAACTGTTAATGCTTTGGGTCTTTGCAGCAAGATGATTTTAATTTGGACGAAGAAGACAATATTCAGACTTCTCGCAGAAATTCTATCTACTCCTTTTGCAAGATACTGACTCCATCAGACACAAGTACACATGGTGGATTCTCTATTCCGAAGCGACATGCTGATGACTGCTTCCGTCCTCTGGTTGGAATCCTGATCTTGAATTATATTAACAATTTAAATAACTGATCTAATTTGCAGAAAAGCAATGTGCCTTACAAAGGATTTTGCCTTGTCTTTTTGTTTGCAAAATGATGGATTTAAGGTGTTTTTTTTTTTTTTTTTTTTTTGTTCTGGTTTATGGCTTTTGACTGTGTTATTGTATTTTTATATTTCAATAAGAAGCAAATTTCTGCGGTTAACAAGTGGCTTAGATAGATTCGCATGATTTTTATTGATTATTCTACTCTTCATGCTAATGTTCTTGCTCTGCACTATTCTGTTAAAATTTTCTGTTTTCACAGAGCTTTTATCATTTGTCATTTGTGTTTTTGCAAGAATTTGGCTTATTTCAAGGCTTTGATATTACAGGATATGACTCATCCAACACCAACACAGGACCTGGTTGCGAAGGACTTGCATGGGTTTGAGTGGCATTTTCGGCACATATATCGTGGTAAGTTTAAATTACTTTACGCAAAAAATTCCTAATGTAGTTGTAACAATGCACTGATCACTGTTAGTGCTAAATTGGACAAGGGCAAAACTTAGAGATTTTGCTTTCATAGTTACCGAGATGAAATCGGCGATTAATAATATGAGATGCCGATTGTGATTTGTAACTGTATCTAAGTTTTGTCCTTGAATAAATTTAAGACCCTGCCGATTTTGATTAGTTCATGATATCGCGTTTAGAAACTAAATGATTGAAAATGCATGTTAGAATTGAACAAACTTTTAAATTAGAAGATATAGAAGCGTGGTTACCATTCGCCCATTTATTTATTTATTTGTAGTAAGTGATGAAATTGACCTTACAAATATTTTTCAGAAAGCATTGCTCGTTTAGTTTCAGAGTTATTTTCTGAGTTAGATATTTTGTCAAATGAAATGCAGGTCAGCCGAAACGACACTTGCTTACTAGCGGTTGGAGCACATTCGTGAATTCCAAAAAACTTGTTGCTGGAGATTCATGCATTTTCGTTAGGTTTCTCTCTATCTCCATGTCTTTTTTTCTCATCCTCCCTAAATTCTGTTTGTTGGTATTTCCAGTGGAACTCTGGCTAAAATTACGAGCTTTTTTTTCTAATGCATGAAACAAGTTAATCATTTACCAGTTTAGTGTTCAACTTCCAAAATGTAGATTAAGATTTTGAAGGAATAGTAGAGAGCGTTACTAATCGGGAGAGTAATTATCTCATTGCAGTGGGGAAAATGGAGAAATTCGTATTGGGATTCGTCGGGCAATGAAACATCACTCCAATGTATCTACATCTTCGTCTCTGATATCGGGTCATAGCATGCAACTTGGAATTTTGACTAGTGCTTCCCATGCTGTTAACTCAGGATCCATGTTCACTGTCTATTTCCGCCCTTGGTGAGTTGTTCAGGATTTATCAAATTGAAAATTCAATTGGACATATCTACTTTTCTCTCATTGTAAATGTATATATGCACTTTGGGCAGGACGAACCCCTATGAATTTATTATTCCTCTGCAAAACTACATGAAGTCAATTGCACTCAACTATTCAATTGGAATGAGAGTACAAATGCTGTATGAAGTTGAAGAGTCTGCAAGAAGGTGATGATGTCAAATTTTAGCCGAGTCATGAATGGTTTATTTTCAATTGCATCTATCCCCAAGAAAAGAAAAGCGTACAGCAGCTGTTACTGATTATTATAGTGTCTACAAGGAAACTAGTTGTAACCGGGTATATTTTGCCTTTTTGTTTGAGTTAGCAGATATGCAGGTACGATTATTGCTATTGAAGATATTGATAAAATTAGGTGGCCAGGTTCAGAATGGAGATGTTTCAAGGTAATCATATCCTTTCCATGTCTTTAGATTTAGTTCCTTAAGTTATAACACCTTTCTGTTTTATTTTACTTGATAATTGAATTTATATTTCCTCTTAGGTGCAATGGGATGCTGTATTAGATGCATGTCTGCGTCCAGAAAGGGTTTGTCCATGGTGGATTGACCCCTTGGAATCTGTCAACGAGAAGCGCATTCCTATTTTCCCCATTCCAAACAAGACACATGTACTTAACCCGCGCCCTTTGCCTGGATTGAGCGGTGTTGCTGTGGAAGGTCAGTTTTTATACATTGATCGCGCAAATTTGAGTTAACTGTACAAAGTTTCTTTGAGTCAAGGAAGTAACTTTAAATGTTTAGGATAACGTGATCTTGTCTTTAAGCATGAGACTAGTTGACTTCGTTTGTTGTTATCAGACATTATTCAGAATTCGGCCCAGCTTGCATCTCAGAGAGTGGATAGGGACTTACAAGGTCAAGATTACATTGGTGCATGTTCTTCACAGCCCATCCGTTGCTCACAGTTTGGGAAAAATCAGCTTCCCATTCCTATGCAAGACCCGCTTCACCACTCTCTTGGCAGCTCAATGTCATCTCCATATGAAGACTTGTCAACTTCAAGTACAATTTTGAACTCCACTGGTTTTGACTCGCAGGGATGCCATTCTTCTGAATCTAAAGATGAAAATGATGTTCCTTTTGGCCAACCAGGCAGTTATAGTAGATACAAGCTTTTTGGGGTTAGCTTAATTGATAACCAACCGGAGCTCCCTTCACCACAATTTGCTGCTTTGAGCAAGACTTCAAGTCCCCTTTCCAGTCATCCAACGTGTGTTACCTCTGGGAAAACGTGCAAGAAGTGTCGCTTTGTTAGTAGAAGCTGCACAAAGGTACTTTAGCATTTATGATTTAACCATCAGATTGACCTGGTTTTATTGAGTTTCGCAGGAAGTTTCCCATTGTGGTGTAATATTTATTCGCGTAACTTAAACATAGTTAGGATGGAGGAAATGTAGTAGGTTAGCCTAATTAGGGAGTAAAATAGATGATCAACCTTTATTGCGGGTGCTTGACAAAGAATTGGGATAACTCATCATGAGTTTTTCACTTGATAGGACAGTGTGGAGAGGATGGACATAGAGACTTAAACAGCATGCACAGGCCTGGGCATGGTATCTGTGTATGTATATATAATCTACACGGCCTAGTCATGTGGATAATTTCACAAGAAAGATTCCAAATCCCTTACAAAGGTCCAGTTATTCATAGAAGGGGTACTAATGTGTAGGCATGCTAGATCCTTCTTGCTTGACTGTCCAAGCATTTAGGTAATAGGTCAGGAATTGGACCCCGGAGATGCATTGTGAAAAATTACATAACAGGTTGCTAAAGCTGAAACATTTTTAGCTTTAGGCATTCACACATCTGAACAAAGGCAACTATTATCTTTCAGGTGCTTAAGCTGGGGACTGCTCTTGGAAGAGCGGTTGACCTCTCACGTTTTCCTGGATATGATGAACTAATTTCCGAACTTGACTCGATGTTTGATTTTGGGGGAAGTTTAATCAATGGAAGCAGTGGATGGCAAGTGACCTGCATAGATGATGATGGAGACATGATGCTGTTAGGGGATTACCCATGGCAGTTAAGTAATGAATAACAGTATCATATGAAAACAAGATTATGTTGTGTTTAACTTAGATATTACTTCTCTGCCGGTGTTTCCACATCAGCATAAATAGCAACTTTGATAGTTATAAACTCAGCATTTGCTTAAAAATTGCTTTCTGTATGTACAAAAGAAGAAACCCGAGAAGTCTCATAATTGTTTTCTTTTCTCGCATGAATGTTTTTGAAGATTTACCAACAGTCAAGCCTTTTAAGTAATATGCATATGGTTTGTTGCAAAATCATGTAATTTCAGTTGTTTTAACCAAAATAATTGCTCTGGTTGGTAATTTTCATTCATTTATATGAAAATGGTATTCTTTTAGTTATTTAAGTAATTTCTGAAAAAAAAAAAAGTTAAGCGCCTTTGTTTTGGTAAATTACTTTCTTTTTGGCTAACTTTTAGTTTGTACCATTAAACTATGCAGGGATTTCCAGTCCATGGTGCAAAAGATGATAATATGTCCAAAGGACGGTATTAACAATCTTAATCCAAGCTCTTCAACAGATCCTAGAAACCTTTAATCATTGCCCACCCGCTTGCAGGAATAGTGTTTCATATCTCTTCTTTCGATGCAACGGACGACTATGGACTTAATGCAGTCCTGTGTCGTTTCTGGTTCCAATATGTTCTACATTTCTTTCTTTTTTTCTGACAATCTCGGAGATCTCCAATATCATGAGTTTGTGAGGATGCGAGCTTTATAGGAGTATAGTAATCATAGTGAAATTTACAGGATGAAAATATAAAAAATATTTTTCTTGTTTTAAGAACTAGTTCTTTCTTATACTTGTGGAAAGTGCTATAATATTAATGCGACATAAATGGTAATTCCGTCTTCATGAGTGGGCGTGTAAAATCTTATATCATTCCTTTTGCTCTTTGATTAGGTTGCTTGTTCCTATTAGCCAGAATTTTCAGAATTGCGAGTGTCTTGATAATCGAAGCAATTTTTGTTTGGTCATATATGATTTTATTATCCAAATACCAAATGCATGCTTTTCACTTTTAACACTATCTTAGGAGAAGAGTTTAAACTTGTATATATCTAATAATCCTTTGATTCAGTTTTCTTTCCCTGCATCATTTGTCATGAGAAAGAAGCCCCAAGCATGTTTATTATCCTTAGTATAAGCTACCACAAATTCTTCAAGTACAATCACCATTCAGAAATCTGTGGTATCTGTTCACGTCCCTCACAATAATTTCTCTTTCTGAAACTCTTGTCATATACTAAAAAGCCTCATGACAATCCTTACAAATCCTCAAATTCTTCACAATCCTCAACGGCTTCCTGGTGGTGCTGATCCACACAAGACTCCAAATGCAACAGCCAACTTCTCACTATGATACCAAAGAGCCTCCTTCCTCTTTTTCTTCCCCAACATTATGCAACACGTCCCAAATAGGAACATGTCCTAATTAAGAGTGTGAGCGCGTAGGATGAGAGGGTGTGTTTCGAGTATTGGGTTATGAGGTTGTTCCACACTGCACCGTCCTTGGTGTTATGGCTCTTGCGTGTGTCGCGCGAGGATCGCACTTTGATGATAGCTGCTTCGTTGTTTCATGGTCGTCGCATGAAACCATTATTCATCGAACCCAAGGTTGTCAAGGCCCAACAAGTAGTTCTGCTAAATGGTCGAATGTTTCTCAGTTAAATGGTCAACGTGTATTTTATTTTATTTTTTAAAATTATAACGAATTAGTCTAATGCATACAAGGTTATCCAGGCCTGATCCAAAAAGTTAACAGTTTCTAAACGAGTGGTCCATATTGGTGTTTGTGGTGCCTATGCAGTGAATTTTTTATGCGGAGAAAACGAGAGGAGACGACAGCGTCCATGATGACAATCTTGAAATTAAATCTGGGTCAGCACATTATTGTGTCTTCCCACCTTACTCGTTTAATCACATTAGCACCATCCTCCGTTACCGTGTTTCCGACTCACCAACATGTTTTTTGTTCATCAATTCTTGGTTATACTCATACCCACTATCCCATCCTGGTCAGGTCTAATTCTCATCCACTCCCGGAATCCAATGACCAAGTTGAAGACCTTCGGGTTCCTGACCATTGGTTAGACCCATCCATGGCATTGCAGGTACTCCTTTTTGGTTCCTTTCAATCCCATGTTGGTATTAGTTTTTATCCCTTTTTTTTTTTTTACGATTTTAGAGTATAAGTGGTTGAGATGTTCTAGCATGTGTTTGGTTTTTCACTTAGCAGGAATCTGAGTGGCTTAGGGTTACTTTACATAAATGGTTGGATGATGAATACTGTCCAGAAGAAACCAATGGGGAGATAAGCAGGGTTGCTGCCAACTCATACTACAATTCTTTGCTACAAAAGCAAACAGACCTGGGTGAGATACTGTTGAAGATGGCCCGTGAACTCGAGTCTATTTCTTACAAAGAGAGTTTTCATGGACCTTTCTCATCAGCAAATGCTGCTATTGACCTCATTGCCCAACGCATAGAACACTTCTGCCACTCAATTTGAATTTTATTGTTCCACTTGGTTTGGTTTGCTTATACCAATACCGGGATTGAATTTTAGCATCTTACTGCCCCTGTTGTGTAGTACAATTTGTGTTAATCCCCGTGAAATGTAGTACTGCAGGCCATTTTATGGAATCTTACGATCTTTGAGTATTATGATGAATATTTCTGTTTCTCTTCAATTTTGCGCTTATTAAAAAATGAATTGAATCCCATAAAGCAGGGCGTTCATGTTAGACACTCAATTTTATTGAGTTGGTTTACATATAAAATGGGCTCTGATCTTTCTCTTTCTGCTTTAATTAGTCCAGATAGGATTCTTCTTCTGAAAGATTGTGAAATCCGTTAAACTCAAATTATCTTGTCACTAATGCTCACCCTTCAACTCTCTTAATCTATTCAAGAACTAGCATTCAAGTAATGAACCAAAATGTTGTGTCAGATAATTTTGAAGGAAAAGGGCAAGAAATTCTCCCATTGAGTTGCACTTTCCTATGAATGACTAATTCGGCAAAGACAAATCAGAGGGTCTTATGTGAAGTTCTTTAATCGACAAATTGGGATCAATGTATTATTGTCACTATACCTAATTTCTATTTGTATAATTAGTTGATTCTTGAACAAATTTGAATCAGAATTCATTGCATAAAAACAAAACTGATCCTAGTCATTTTCTCTAATTTGGAAACCAGTGTGATAATAATGTTATGGAGCCATCCTAAAGCCTAGAACGGGTTAGTGGGTTCATCTCACTCCCACCCCACCCCGGACTTAAATGTTTTTTAGGCAATGGGAATCAAGTTTTGCATAGGTTTTTCAGACTCAAGACTATTTATGTAAAATAAATCAAAATGACCCGGATTTGTACAACCGTTTTTCTTTAGTTCCAATCATTAGCAGATTCCAGGCTAATTTAAGTTATGTTTGATTAAGCATCTTTTAAAGTGTTTTTCCATTTGTCAAGTAGTCCATTAGTGCTGTAAATGCTATCATAAAGAGGCCTACTAATAAAGGAAAGCTGGTTGGTTACAATACTGGAGTATGAGGCTTCTAGCATGTGACATGTCAACAGAGGTTACAATAAGATGTACCCAGTACTATGAGAATCAAAACCTCTCATATTTTCAAAGTTGAATATGACTATAAGCATCTTTTTATATGCTAAAAGTCTAAAGATAAACGTGAAGGATCTTATTCTTGTACCATTATGAAGGATCTGAAATGAATGCTGTCATAGACCACTAGTTCAATCCAACTCACATGAGCAAGTGGTTCATGACCACTAGTACAATGAAATTGTTCAAACCAGAGCCACAGCAAGCATAAACAGAAGGAAAAAGCTGGAAGTCTAAGTGTTCTTAACAATGAAAAACTCACATTTGTTCGGGCCAAAGAAAAGAGAAGTTGCAAATAGAGAAATTTCACTTACTACTCTAAGTTCACTTATTATTTGGTGCAGCAAAGAAACTTTGCCTCTGGTGCCAAAAACAGGCTGCTCGGGTTGTCGTTTCCGACTACCACTATGGTAATCATATGAAGTATATATAATATTTATCTGATTCACATCTTGCTCTTTTTTCTTTTTGTTCAATATAGACTGAGAGCAAAAGCTCTTGCACAATATCTGCCATATGAATGTGCGGATAGATTCTCTCCAAAAAGGAGGACGATTCTTGCAAATGCTTGCTTCTTCTATTGGAATGGAACCAGATTCAACTTAAAGTCCCATCACAACAGTTCTCCTTCTTTCGTTCCTTTAAATAGAAGTATACAACCAGAAAATATATATTCCTTTTGTTATGATAATTAGTGTGCCTTGTGTAACAGGCACATGTGCAATTCTAGTTTTTTAATGGAGTATTACTAATCATCTATTGCTTCCAAATTTAAACATCAATTTATTTCTCCTTATATTTGGAAACAAGGTATCTAATCTTCTTGTCCCAGAAGATGATGTGCAAAATTGTTTTAACAATTTTTATTTCTTCACACCCTACTTTGTTAGCAACAAGATGCTGCATTACCTACCATATATTTGTATTCTACGACCATGGCATCTTATGTCAATACTCACCAGAATGGCAATCCAGCATAGAAATGCATGCAGGTTTTGTTAAGGTCCTACTCACTATGAAATTGTTATTCACTTGCAAAATAATGCGAGGCTTGGTTTCTATTTTTTTAAAATTATATATAACGTTTAATGGTTAATGAATGAAAATCAGTTTATGAATAGGCTGCTTGCTTACTTCGGCTTTGGCATTCTTTATATTCCTCTTTCTGCGGATCTGCGGCAAAAGTTATGATCACTAAAATTACTTTCACAATCCTCCAACATTTTTACGAGAATAATATTTGTTCTTGTTCTGTAATAAAAATATATGATAATTCCACCGCCGCCTCTTTTATATACTTTTAAGAAGTTGTTTTATCTACAATAAGATCGAAAAACTCTTTGCTGAGAGCTTGAAACCGTCTTGTTTTGCCCGGACTGAACTAAAATGCCATGCCCTTTGTTAGTCCTTTCGTGGGTATCCCAACCTTTTGGGTGTGAAAGTGATCTTGTTCGAGGTCACCCCTCAAATGCTGCACTTTAATGCATTTATAGCATGTTTGGTTTGCTTAAATCTAGAGAAATAATAGCTTATTTTTCAGAAGCTTTCTTAAAAACTATAAATAAATAAATGATTATTTTTCTAAAATAAAATGAACCAAACGGGCACTTAGAAGAGTACTCAGAAAAGAGAAATCTGAAATTGACTCATTCTTAGTATTTAAAATTTGAAATTGGAAGTGTTTTTTCAATCTTGTTACCTTTTTCTGAGTATACATTGGACTTTTACTGCACTTGATCTGGTGCAGGAAACTCCAAACTCTTAAAAGATGTGAAACCTCCATCCACAACCAAATTGTGCCCACTAACATATTTGGCATTATCAGATGCAAGATAAAGTGCAGCATTAGCAATATCATTAAGTTCACAATTTGCTCCCTGTAGGACACCAGCACTGTGAACAATGTCTATGTGTCGCTGAGCATCAACATGAGGATATATCTGACTCATTTCACTCATGACAAAAGGAGTGGGGATGGCAAAGGGTGATATGCAATTGACTCGAATTCCATACCTGCATAGCTCTGAAGCCAGCGATTTAACAATGGCTATAACTGCACACTTGGATATAGAGTATGTGTGTTGAGCCATCCCTCCCATCACTCCTGTGACACTTGCCGTGCACAGAATGGACCCGCTTTTACGCGGAATCATTACACGTGCTGCATGCTTGATGCCTGCCACAACCCCACGAACATTTATGTCCATGATTTTGTCAAATAATGCCATGTCCAGATCAACAATGCTAGGAGGAGTTCTGCAGGGTATCCCTGCATTATTGTACATGATGTCAAGTTGTTTGTATTTAGATATGGCATAATCAACGGCACCGGAAATATCTGATTCTTTAGTAACATCACACGTTATGAAAGTAGCATTAGGTCCTAATTCTTTTGCAGTCTCTTGGCCTAGTTGTTGTTGAATATCAGCAATAATAACCTTAGCCCCATTGCTGATGAATTTGGTAGCTGTGGCTTTTCCTATTCCACTAGCCGCGCCTGTGATCAGTGCAACCTTGTCTTGTAGCTTCCTGGATTACCACATCAAACGTAAATAAAAAAAAAAGGTGCAAAGATTCTTTGATAGCATTTGTAGTATGCTCAGCATCGTGTGATATGCATCTAATAATTGGTGGCATCAGATATTCATGACTAAAAGGTTTTGAAGTGTTAAATGTTCCATCTAGTCTTGTATGTCCGTATGTGATTAATCATTGTTAGAGCTATAGTCCACTCTTTGCACTTATACATTAATATAAATTATATAATGCATCTGAGTAAAGCAACTAAAATGCAAGAGCTCAATTAGAAGTTAAAACGGTAAGCTTACTGTGTGCGAAGTATCTTCATATAAGACTGCTATGCATTTATTATATTAATTTATCAGGTATACACCAAAAGACTTCAAATTGAAATTTCAGTTTACTATATTAGACATGTAAAACCACAATTATACAAGTATGTGAGTGGTAACAGCGAAAATGCAAGGACTATAAATTAGGAACTTATCAACCATGCATCATGGATTCATGCCTAGATACATTATAAATATTCGTTCACTCCCCCTCCCCTTTCTTACTCCTTTTGCAAAACTTTCAGGTAATCAACTATAATGGTTTTTCTTAGTCTGGTCAGAATAAATAACGGTTTGCCATCATATAGATAATTAGAAAAAGGAAATGTAAACCAAAGACAGTAGACACTGAAGGTTAACTTTGCCTTACCTTCCACTCTGGGAAGACAATAACCTGTGGAAGCTCTCAGCAAACAAAGCCCTTGAATAGAAAACTTTGGCACTGTTTCCAACAATTACCACCCAGTAAGCTGTAGTAGTGTAGGATTATTCATAATTCGGAAATTATCAAAGAACTGAAACGAAAATCCACATGCAGGATCAAAGTTTATAATAATTAGAAAAAATAAACTGTCATTAATTTCATTAACAAAATTGTCAACCCTGCACACACAATCCTTCCTCCCAGCACTGTAAAGAAAATCTATAGCCATTTTCTTAATCCAAAATATTTCCATAAGCAGAAAGCTGATTCAAAACATTCAACACTAGAATAAGTGGAAAGTACAAAACATCCTATAATTAATTTTTTAATCATGAAACTGAAAAGATAGATATACGGAATAATTAAAACACACAAACAGGTGTAGACAGAAAGTGTGAAACCAACCTCAAACCAATTCTAAACATGATTTTCTGCCACAAAATAGCTTAGAAGCAGACACACAGATTGGAGATATTGCCCGTTGACTGTTTGAGCTTTTAGTTTTGGATCTCTGTCAGACTAAACAAGAGTTGGAGAGAGAATGAAATTTGTGGAGCATGATATAATATCATATAAAATGCTACAAGGGTAGTTTGGTCAATATGGCCAAAGAATATATATGTACGATTGGCATTCATTCATAGAATAATTTTGCTATTGAACCTTTCTCAGAATGCATTGCATTGCAGATACTGAGAACTTAACAATGATGGAATCAGCTCCTAAGACTCTGAAATATGAAACCGAATATCTTATTAATACTAGTTTGATTCAAGTTCATGCACTAACCTAAACAGACATATAGACGTAATTTTTCAAATATTAAATTGACAATTGAAGTGCCATATGCACAATTATGTTTATCATGGACACAAATTGGTAGAATTATTCTCAAATGCTGCACCCACAAAGTTTCTCTTTTAATCTATTACTACGTACTACCAGTAAACTCGTGTGACACACACGTGCATATGTGTCAATAATAAAATTTACATGAATTGAAAAGAGACTAAAGTTCAAGGGTCATTTTCAGAAGAAAAAAGGTGAAGAGTAATTAAGTGATTGATTCAATTAAAGCTCAGTTACTTTTGGAGGTTACAATTGATAATTGAATATCCATGAAATGGACAAGTACATGGAAAATTAACTAGCAAATATAACTGAATATAAAATTGAAAATAACAAAATTTGTATGGGGCATTCCGAGAATTGAACTCGGGACCTCTCGCACCCTAAGCGAGAATCATACCACTAGACCAAATGCCCGCTTGTGATTACGGAAACATTACATAAATTAAAGATTTATAAAACAAAGTCGTTTCCCTCCAAAACATCGGACTGAAACTTTTACTTTATTTTTTGTCCTTTGATTTTGATTTCATCTTTAAAATTGGTGGTGCGTCTTCTGAACTTCACCTTCTTCTCTGTACGCACTGTGATCAGTGATCACTGAATTAGGGTTTTACTTCATTTTCACTACTGCCAAATTTCATCATCCATCTGCGTCCTGCTTTCAAATAAGATTTTAAAATAATCATAATAATAAATTCCCATTCTGATGGCTGACGGTTCTTCACCTCACTCTCAACCTTTATCACTACTAGCAGGTAATTCTTCATTATTTTTATTAATTTGTTGTAAACTTGTTTATCTTTTATTTCGATGATTTGATCGTTCCCTGTACCTAAAATGCATAGAGAGAGAAAGAAATGCGAAAAATCGAAGACGACAAATGGGTTGTTCTTTGATCGTATTGAATTTATTGTTTTGGGTACTTAATCCAATCATTAGATTCTATGCATAAATTGAGTTGAAAGATGTGGTTTTCTAGGAATAAGAAATGTTTGAAACTGAAGTGTAATTATGAACTTTATGCTTATGGTTCTGCCTGTGGAATGTTATGGATAGACTCATAGAACTACCTTAGACTGATGAGAATGTTGTTTGGCTTCAATTAGGAGATAAAGTTAAAGATGCAAATCAAGATGATCGGTGTAGGGAAACTGAACTCTTCGAGGACACCTTGGCACTCAATAATCATTTCACTGAAATGGAGCTTGAATATCTCAATCTGAACACTGAGATTGTAGAGGATTCAGACCCTGCAGAAAATGTGACAACCAACCCAGTATGTGAGTACGAACAAGAAGTGGTGCTTGATAGTGAGGACGAAGAAATGAATAATAGAGATGCAGCAACTGTTGCCAAAGGATTTATTGAGGATGAAACTAGTCCAACAGTGAAAAATCCTTTGATGCTCCAGAAGAGGCTATACAAGCCACCTTGTGAGCAAGCAGACTCAAATGCCACCATTTTTGGAAAATCTGCTGCTGGTATGTGTTTGTTATCTGCATTTTAATGTTGAGTACCATGTTTCTGTCTTTGTAATAATTTTTATTTTTTTCTTTTTTCTTTTATTGGTATGGTATCTCTGTAAGTTATTCTTGTTACTTGCATTTCACTGAAATAACACTTCATGAATGATTAACTTTCCATGATCATAATATGCTTGAAGGGGCCAAAGTAGCTTCCGTTGATGCTGACAGCTTTGATAACGACAACCATTTATATCTCTCTGCAAGGTTAAATCACATCCACTCACCAGAGCCTGGGGATTCAACCCAGGCTGCACTTGGCTTTGTGGATCAGTATTTGTCATTGAATGATGTGGATTTGTTTCAAGGAATTCATCGTAGAAAGACCACCAGGGAGAAATCACCTCATGTCCTGAGTGCAAAAGGACCACTAAATCTGGCTAAGAAAATTAAAGTTCAAACTCAAAATGAAGAAAAAGAACCTTTCAAATGGGTTGACAGTGAACAAAATGACGACAAAGCTGGTTTGTTTGGTAAAAAAATTAAAGCACCTCCAAACTTTGGAAGCTACAAACAGACATATACACGAAGAAGACAGAAAAAAGGTGGTCATCTTCAGAGCCAAGGAAACTGCAGTGCAAGCAGTAGATGTGATGAGACTTTAGGCCAAGGACCAAGAATGGCAACTGAAAATAATAACTCTATCAATGAGTTGGATGTTCAGTCAAGTGCTATGAGAGAGAACTTTAATGTTTATTCCAGTGTAACACATATAGGAGACATGTCTGATATTGGTTTAGACACTCAAATAGCTGCTGAAGCTATGAATGCCTTAGCCTTTTTGCACCCTTCTGGCTGTCATTTCAATGATACTCACCTACCAGAGAATGCATCTGATGGCTCTTTAAGTGATTTCATAGAGAATGAAGGTCTTCTGAAAAATTCTTCATATAGACAGAATCCTGGTTTACATTCTGTCACAATAGAGTCAAATAAGAAAAATGCATCTTCCTCTAGATTTAGTAATATAACTTCTAGCTCATCTTGCAAACACACTGACAAGCAGGAGCCAAATCTTGTCTCAGAAAAAATGAAAAAACTTATGAAAAGCAAGTTAACTGCTGAGGGACAGTTTGAAAATAATACTAGTTTGCCAATATGCAGTAAACATGCATCACTTGAAGAGGATCACTCACTAGGAGCGCATGTAAGTTTTCAGTCTACTACAAAGGAATGCACAAATTGGAACAATGAGAGCAGACAGACATGGATCAAAGATCAACCAAGCTATCCTACAGAGAGGAAGAATAATGTCAAGGATAAGAGTATTATTAGACACAAGAGGAAGGGGAATGGTTTAGTAGCATCTGATCCAGTGAAGTTGGGTGTTGGGACAAAGCGTCTTAAATTGCCTACCAATTTGTGTGCAATTGCTAGGAAGAGCGGGTTGAATCATCAGGCTCAAGTTAGTCCACAATTATCTGCAACCAGCACTCTTTTAAGGATTGACTCTTTCTTTTATCCAAAAAGACCAAGAGGGAAACGAAAGGGGCCTAGTGTGCAAATCAATCTCAATGCACCTACAGATTTGTGCATTGATGAAAAAGAAAGCAATGCCTTCTCCATTGGAAGTCTGGAAGACCAAGATGATGTGGATAAATCATGTTTTCCTCACAACCACCCACTTTGCAATGCTTCATGTGTTGACAATGGCAGATGCATGTTACTGGGGAACTCTGTTCAACCAGGCCCAGCTAGTGATGCAATGAAATTTGAAAACCTGCTTGATATGCATCCTTTATTGCTGGCACATGTTGAAATATCATCAAACAAGAGTGTTGCACAATCGAGATCAGAAATTCCAGCTACAGTTGCCCCAAGCAAAGGCATAAATATTTCAAATGCTAACCATACTTACACTGGGCACCACAAAAAGCCATGTGACAAAAACCTGCCAAAGACTTCGCTTTTGAAGGAGCTTATCAGAATAGGAGGCCCTGACTCCACTTCAGATATGATGTGGAAAGATCTTAGACACCGGAGAGATATGACAGATGTTAGAATTCTGTTTAGCCAACATTTGCATGACAGTATCATCAAGCAGCAAAAAAAGGTAACTGTTGAATTTATGTCTGTGATAGGAGATGCTAATTGTTTCTAGTGACACTGTTATTTCCCCTCCTTGCAGATCTTGGCACGTCTCAATATATCTGTTGCAGCAAGCTCAATGGAGGCCACACATTTCGTAGCAGACAAATTTACACGCACAAAGAATATGTTGGAAACAATGGCCCTTGGGAAATTAGTCGTGACACACTTATGGCTTGAGAGCTGTGGACAAGCCAATTGCTTTATTGATGAGAAAAATTACATTTTGAGGGATACAAAAAAGGAAAAGGAAATAGGCTTTAGCATGCCTGTTTCTCTTGCACAAGCAAGACAGAAGCCACTCCTAGAGGTACTCATATAAACTTCAGTTAGGTATGCTCAAATTCTTCTGCATTTGCCATTTTTTGCCTCAATCTGGTTGCTTGCCTCAACAGGGTAAAAGAGTCTACATCACGCCACATGTTAAACCTGATAAGGAAGTGATTACAAGTTTGGTCACTGCTGTTCATGGACAGGTATGCATATTCACCTGTGCATCCCACTCCAATACTGCAGCTGACCTGTGGTTGCAATATTAGGCGTGTTTGAGCTATTAAGATATTGTGATCCCCACCTTCCCTGGATTTTCAAAAATTAGTTCATGCATTTTTTGTCTTCTCTCTTCAGGTAGTGGATGAAAGTCAGATATGTTCACACAAGAATGATAATACCTTAGATGATTTGTTGATTATTTCTTGTGAAGATGACTATGCGATATGCCACCATTTCCTTGAGAGAGGTGCTGAACCTTTTCACCTACTTGATAAATAACTGGGTTATGATTTTATCTTATATTCGTGTTCCAGAACTCATGGACTAAACAAATTTGCAGGAACTTCTGTTTACAGTTCAGAGCTTGTTCTAAATGGAATCGTAATCCAAAAATTGGAACTTGAGAGGTATGATGTTCTATTCTTTTTTGTCTGCATGTATAAGGAGTTTTTCTAGTATATTCTTTTCTACTTTTTTAACATAGTTTTATATATTAGCCTAGCTATATAAATGCCACCTTTGATCTCAACCACGTCTGGCTGTCTCCCACTGCAATGAATATTTTGGCTTAAAGTGAAGCACCTGTGGATAATACAAAAATTGAGCTCAAAGTGATTTCTAGATACCGAGGGTTTAAGACCCAAAATGTGTAAAAAGCACACGTTGGGCTGTTGAATTACTATGTGAACCTGTATAGTTTTTCATCAGTCTCTCTTGAAATTATGTCTAAGCTAAACTAACTTAAGCATACAAAAAAGCTCTTATAAAATGAGATTATCTCAAAGGTGAACAAGCAAGGATGTATCTATCTACTGTTGAATTATAGCGGGTAAGATCATGATGCACTTAAATGAAGGGTAAGTACACCCTTACTTGTTCACTTCGGAGATAAGTTCACTAAGTAGATCTTTATCCATAGGCACAACTTATGCTATGCCATGAAGATGGGTAAGTTTCAGTCAACTTAATTCAGATTTAGGAGTCTATTAGGAATCTTTCTCATATTTGAATGTAGCGAGTCTATTAATTCATCCCTGAGCCCTGAGGAAAAGGCGTTGTTTGCCCTATAAAGTGATTAGCAATCAAGCATCTCAACAATCTATTAAAATTTAAAATGATCTTTGGCAGACATCAACTCTTCATGAATCAAGTTACAAGGAATAACCCAAGTACGTGTAAACGGTATGGGAAGGTTTACAGTAGGCGTTGAGGCCCTTTTCTGGACCGTGGCTGATTTTTGATGTAAATGTAATATAAGTTGACCAAGGCAATAGTATAAAGACTAGGAAATTTTGTTTATATTCAATGTTTCTAATTTCTTTTTCTGCCTAAATGCAGGACGTAGTTTAGCCCAGCAGCATTATTTTGAACATGTAGAAAATATTAACTGTTGAAGTTCTTTTTTTTAATTTCTAACGCACGATAGACCCATGTGCACAGATTGTCACGTCACAAGATTCTTTCAAATGGCGAATGGCTAATAGATTTTGGTTTATCTTAAAGTAAATCAAGGTTAGAAATATTTTATTTATATGCTTTACATAAATAAGATTTCGGTGAGTAAATTTATTATTTAGATAGATAAATTGACGCTAATTAGAAAATTTTTACAAAAATAAGATTTCATGTAAATAATATTAAAAATAACATCTTGAATAAAGTACGTCAAAAAAGATGAAACTAAGTCGGATAAATCATAATTCACACGTAATTAATTCAGGCAAGTAATTTTTTTAGATAATAAAACATGAAAAAACGTTGTTGATCATAATTTAAAAAATAAGTGGAGAAAAAGAACTTAAATTTAATACTACTTGACACAATTGTACTTTATATGTGCTTTGTGAGGTTATGTCGCAAATTTTTGTTATTTGATTATGTATTGAATTTTTTATATAATAACTGTATTTGAATTATATATTGCAACTGCTAACTCTTAGATTAAGAATGTTTTTGGTCTTGAAGTAAATAGAAACTGAAGCCCACAAGGTCTGTTAAATTTATATTTTTGTAAAGCTAATTTTAAATATCTCATTTTAAATTAATGTTAAAAATAATATTTAAAAAAGGACAATATTTCTTAAAATATAATATGCATATATTTAAAATTATTTTATAAGTTTTATATTTATAACAATTTGTTTTCCATAAAAGTATTTATCTAAGAAATATTACACTTATTATCATAAAATTATTTTTATTTTTTAAAAAAAGGAGAGAACAAATTGAATACTGTTTAAAAGCATTTCGGTAGCCGCAATTGTGAATTTTCACCAAAACAAATGGTCTATAAATCAAACTCATAGAGCAAGAGCCCAAAGGAGACAAGCACAGGACAATCTGACACTGAAAATGTTTATAACAGACCTTACCTTTACTGTTTCTTCTTGTTTAGGAAGTGGCCCAACCCAGGAATGTACCATAATTCACACTCTATTGCAAATGTGACAACCGTCACTGTCCATCCTTTAACTCCATGAGATTATTTCCCAACGTAGCAATCTCATGCAAAATAAAAAAAAAGTGGCCCTACTAGATCTTGATTTGAGCTGGTCCATTGGTGGCGTTTGTATTATTATTCAATTTGAATGCAATTGCATTGGATAAATAGTTTCCCTTTTGCTTCAAAGTTGAAAGGGAATTGCCCTTTTCTTCTTTTGCTGATCGCTGTCATTTTTATAGATATAAGTGATTGGGTTGTTATCATGTGGTCAGGGTCACTTGAGAAATATCCAATATTATGCTACCCCTCACTCACCATCAAAAAGGTAAACGCCCTTTATATTACAATTTGACACCCCTTTTCATTGTCTTGAAAGTGAAATTAAAGAAAGTGAAAATGAACCATCAACTATCTTTAGTTTAGTGCGAATGATTCTGGTTTTCCACTTAGATTTGGAGTATGTTATCAATGAAGACTATGGAAGATAATCAACGGGAAAAGAATGTTCCTCGTTTGTTCAATTCATGACGCATTGACATTTCTTATTTGAATTAAAGATACATGGAGTGGACTCAACTCTTTATCCTAGGATCATGCAATATATAAATTTGCAATTGACATTTGTAACCCAAAGAGAAAAGAGTCTTCACGGTTGAAGTAATTTATTATTTTTAGCTTATTACAGTAATTTTTAAATTGTTTAAACATTTACAAACCAACTAAATTTTTTTAATTCTATTTTCATTCTCCCAAAGAATCAAGACAAACCAAGGTGTCCCCCAAACTAAAAACCAAGAAAGTTAAAGAGGGTCCTTAAAAAACAAAAGGGATGGCAAGGATTGGTGCCATTCTGCCATTATAACGGATACAGTAAAATGGGGGAAATAAATTGAATAAAATTTGAATGCCCTTTTCTTGTCTTGATTCTGTTTGGGCAATGGAGCATTGACATTGGCAATGAAAGCTTTAGTAGAGAGAGAGATGGCAACATTCATCAACCATTTGCGCTGTCTTGGCGGGACAGTCTGGCTTACTTATCTTTGTACCTCGTTTTTCTCGCTTACTACCATACTACCCCTTTACTTATTATTTACTTTTCTGCCCTTTTACATTTTCCTTATATATAATTAGATTATATTATCATTTCATTAAAAAATAAAAATGTCTTATTCACCCACTCCATGAGATCATCATTCTCTGTAAATTTTTTTATCCCCTCACTTCACACCTTAATGTTTGGAGAATGTTTTATTTTAAATTTTGTTAGAATTGACGTCAAAGTGGATTTTAAAATAATTGAAGTTAAAATTTTAATTTGCATCTAGAAAATATTTTTTTTTTAAATCACATATATATTTTTTTATCAAAATTAATCTTATTTAAATTTAGTAACAAATTTATCTATATTAGTATTTAATTGAGCTGCATTTGTTAAGCTTATAAATTAAAGTATAATAATTCAGTTTTGGTTTATTGACATGCTTGATAATAAAAATGTATTTTAAAATTAAAATAAGAAAAACTAGTTTGTTTTATATTGTAAAGTAGGATATTTTAAAATACGAATACAATATATACATGGTATAATATTTCAGGAAGTTTTGATGTAGTGATGAGTTCAATTTTCCTTAATACTTGTTTTTCACGCAGTCTGAGAGGCTTGATGGGAACCTGTTCAATTTTCTTCAGAAAGATGATGACTACCTATCAATCGAAATCAATAGCGTGTGTGATGTGATATGTGTTCCCTTCATCACTCTCCTTGTAGGTTTTGATTTAGCTCCATGTGCTTGCTCCTTGGATTGAAATTGGAAATTTGATAATCGTAAACATGTTTAATTGAATGCTTCTAACTTTTTGGGCATAAGTATGAAAGGAATGGGGATAAGTAGGAACATTGAACATGAAATTTACCATAAAAATAAAATATTAAACTCAATAGTGAAAAAGTTGCATCCAGCAACTAACAATCATGTTCAATGAAAACAGAAGAAAGAAATATAAACAAATGGAATTAAGAGGCATGATGGGACCTTTCCCCATTTTGCTTTACTTCATCCAAACCAATACTCTTCTATAGCAGTTTTCTTATTCTAATGAACTATTATAATGTCTCTCCGTTTTCAAACCATTAAAAGCATCACTAATTTTTATTGTTAGTAACATTATAGAAAGAAAAATAATACAGCATTTGGATGTACATTGGATACCATTACTCAGTTTAATACATATATTTAAGTCAAACAAACTACACTCGTGTACGACAAACGACAAGTCAACACAAAATTCAAGTTGCACATGCTGACTACAATCAATCACTGTGTTTATCCCTTTAATAGTATTACTTATATAATTCATTAAAATTAAATTCTTTTACCTTTAATAAGTCCAACAACTTCTAAAACTTCAAAAATCCCTCATTTATTAGTTTTAACTTGCAAGAAAAATTTCAAGAAAACCATTGTGTCAAGTTAATAACAATAATAAGGGAAAATATATTTGTAATATGAGTTTATTTGAATGTGTGATAAAAGAATTGATTTATTAATTTATAATTAAAGTGATAAAAGAAAAGGATAATTAGATAATCCACTCCACTAGTAGTAGGAGTAGTACCAGCTGTACGTAGTGGCAGAATGGTAAAAAGGGAGAGAAAAATGTCGTTAATGAAACCTTATAATAATTAAAATTGTAATAATTAATAGTTATTATATTTATGCAATGAATTGAAGATCCAAGTTTGCCATCGCGAGAGAGTCCCCAATTTGGCAGCGACGACCCCAAAAACACGAAAACAAATCTGAGAGCGAATTCGAGAGAGAGAGAGAGAGTGAGAGAGAAAGAGAAGCGCTGTTAATGGCGGAAGGGAAGGAAGAGAGTAAATCTAGCGAAGAAAGTGTAAAACTGTTCGTAGGGCAAGTGCCGAAGCACATGACGGAATCGGAACTGCTTGCAATGTTCAAGGAGTTCGCACTCGTCGACGAAGTCAACATCATCAAGGACAAAGCCACACGCGCTTCACGAGGTACCGTTTCATACCCTAATACTCAGTATCAAACTCGCATTCTCCGTAGTCGCTTCCTTATTTTCCGGCATTCGCGCCACATGTCTCGTTGCAACCCTAATTTTCCGTTTCCGTCGCAGGTTGTTGCTTTGTGATTTGTCCATCCAGGGAAGAGGCTGATAAGGCCGTCAATGCGTGTCATAATAGGAAAACTTTACCAGGGGTTGGTGCTGCGATTTTCACGCTCTCTTTATTGATTTTCTTTTTTGCTTTTACGACCGTGTTGAAATGAAAGTGATCCGTTTTGGTGGAATGATATGATGCATTGATGTGAATGGGTGATGCTACTATAATAGTTATTGATGCTGACGACTACATCTTAGTAATGAGTGGCTTGATTGGGCAAGAACGTGTGTCTAATTTTAGCAATTTTTGTGGTGCTACTTACTATATTTGGGTAACCGACTCAACTCGCTCTTACAGCTTCTAAGTGTTATACATTGTGGTGTATTTTCATGTTGGTCACTGGAATCCCCCTGGGTTAAGTTTGGATTTCAATGGAAATCAATCATTATATCAGTTATTTTAGTCGGAAGGATTTTGTTTACATTTTTTTTGTTCAGGAGGAGAGGGGGTTGAGCTTATAGAGTGTCACTGTTATATTGAGCCTTGCTTGTTAGGCATCACAAGCCTGAAATAACTTATCTTGGACTTTGACGTATATAATTATACTATTTTGGTTGATTTTCTATTTTATTCTTAATATTTCTTCTAACATTAATATCGTTAAGGTCTTAGGCCTTGATTCTTATTAGCATCAGGAAATAGAACACTATTTTATAAAGTATTTTTGTTATTGTAATATGTTCATTTATTATTCTTATAAGTGTACCTAACTACATATGACTATTGCATTTAATTTTTGTTAATTAATAAATACATTTAGAGAAGGGGCTTATTATTGATTCAGCTGCCTTATCATAACTGCCCTGCCCCTAACATTCTTCAAAAATAGTAGTGTCATTTGCAACCATTATATCACAAATGTCATGCTTAAGATTCAGTTGTGTGCCCTGCTTGTTAGGTGTGACAAGCCTGAGATGAGTTATCTTGTAGATGTATACTCAAAATCTTAGTTGATTTTCTATTTTGTTCTTAATATTTCATTTAACATTAATATCATTGATGTTTAACATCAGGAAATAAAAAAGAAATGCAAGTCAATGGACAAAAAATAAAAATATTTTATAATTTATTTTCATTTTCATGATGTTTATTTATTAATTATAATTATAAGTGTATGTACCACTATTTTAATTTTATTTTTTTTTATTAATTAATAGATATATGTCATGTGATGTAATGCAAGCAGGATGCATCATTAATTTTTCATTCATTTATAAAGAAGAGGATCATTATAATTTTTTGTCACCCTTAATGATTGAGAATTTAAGTGTATGTTTGGTTTGGAAAAACATGTTTTGTTTTTACTAATAATTACAACAATGCCACCTTGTTTGTTTCCTCTTTGTTTCTTATTTTTAAAGATTTGGCCTATTGTCACCAATTCCAGGATAAATATTTGAAACTAAGAAATGAAGGGAAAATCATGTGGCATTTTTGTGATTATTACTGAAAGTAGGGGGAAAAAAGAACATGGTTTTCATACCAAACATGCCCTAAACATCCTATCAGGAGACACCTTACATAACTGTCCTGGCCTTGATCAATTAGTAAATTGAACCTTGCCCAGAAATATAGCTGTTTAAGATTTTGCAAGCATAGTTAACAATCTCAAATATCAGCTCAGATAGCAATGTGTTGTGGCTGACACCAGAAATGCTATAGTAGGATGGCCACAATTTTAAAAATTTATATACAAATTAAGTATATTATATACATATAAATGCTAAAAAATTTTGAAACTAAAAAATATGACATATTCAAGATTAAAAAAAAATTATATATATATATATATATATATATATATATATATAGGTCTTAATAAAAAGTACGAGTAAATGACAATAAAAGTTAAAAAAAAAAAATGCAAAATGATACAACTAGTTGCAGTGTTGGTGTTGCACAGTAGATTAAAGCGAGGGAAACAATGTCCAATTAAGAATTTTTAAATCCTGCAAAGGGGGAGAGAAATGTCAAAATTGCCCCTAACAAAATCCCCCAAAACAATGCTTTTTTTTAGAGTAAAATCGTTCTTTTTTTAAAAACTTCACTCTGGCACTGCTATGGCTGCTATTTTTACAGCTATGACAGCTGCTGCAGCCACTGTTGAAAATGTTCCACCACTCAAATTTTGTAGCACCTTGTGGCCGCTCCACTATAGCACCACTATAGTTCGTTATTGATAACTATGTTTGCAAGTAGAAATCAAATATGTAATTATTGAAAAAATAATTCTAGAATTGTGTGTAAACATCAGCCTCAGTTTGTTCACAAAAGTGTGGCCTGGGGAACATGTCATTAGTTAAGAATTTAGTAGTCCAATAGAAAATCATTTTGTCAGTGTTTGTTTCTTTCCAAAGATATTTCTATGCATTTTTGGGATTTTTTACCTAAGTAATTTATTTACTGGCTGATGCCCTAGTCCCTACTAGGTCATGCTCCACTTTCAGTTTGTCACTAATATCAAAAGTCTGGCTTCTGTGTGCATGATTAATTGTGTTTGTTGATTGTTCCAGATGGCTGTGATCTAAATATGCATAAAAAACTGAATACAACTGAAAATTTTGATGTATTGATTATCCAAAGCCTATAGCCTTAGTAATATTGTCGTGGAAGTTGATGCTTTAATAACCATGTGATGTGATATGGTATTATTCTCGTTCTGACTTGGAATCATCCTGTTTTGTGTCTAATTCAGGCATCTAGTCCATTGCAAGTGAAGTATGCAGATGGCGAGTTGGAAAGATTAGGTATAAGTTATTCCTATTATTTAATTATTTAACTTCAAATTTTGTTTAGCAGATCAATTTTTGAGAATCATTCATGTGATAGAATTCCTTTCTTATATTGTAGTAATCTCTTTATGAGTAATTTTCTATTGTCTTGAATCCAGAACACAAACTCTTCATTGGCATGCTTCCAAAGAATGTTTCTGAAGTTGAAGTATCTGCACTTTTCTCCAAGTATGGAACTATAAAGGATTTGCAGATTTTAAGAGGTTCTCAGCAAACGAGTAAAGGTGCTGATTTGTAGCTTAATCCGTCCTTTACACAGGACTTTGGTGTTTCTTAATCACAAAGCTTTATTCATAGTTCTATTTTGTGGTAGGTTGTGCATTTTTAAAGTATGAAACCAAAGAACAGGCTCTTGCTGCCTTGGAGGCAATCAATGGAAAGCATAAAATGGAGGTTGGTATTTATTAAAACCATCACCTGAATTTCTATATATATATTTTTTTTAATTTGGTAGTGATGTAGTTGTTTGAGCAATATAATCAATGTGTTAAAATTTCTTCTATTATGCTTTTATTAATGGAAGGAAGGAGAGAATTAGCTTTGATGTACAGGATGGGACTATATTGTTAGCTGACTAATAATATTTAGCAACTTAGTGGTTACTATATTAATTTTGCTGATGTAATATATGCGTAGACATGTCTTATAACTGAAACCCTGTCAAAGATGGCATGATTAGTCATATACACATGAACTATTTTAGATTCAATAACATGTTTTTGGTTCCTTGTGTGTGGTAGAATGGAAAAGTGCATGCCTTTAAACTCAATTACAATTTTAGTTGTAAATGGTGTTTGCAGTATTTTGGACCTTCAAGCGGCATTCAGCCACAAATATCCTGTTGGTGAGGGACGTGAACATTTAATCATGTGTCTCAGATTTCATTATAGATGCACCAATACTTATTATCTCAATTTTTTTTTATCATTGTCTCGATTTGGAAATCTAAGGCTGTCGGTGATTCCTACATTGGTTTGTATAAGATAATGTTTTGGGCTCAGGCTTGACTCATTATATTTATATGATAGGCTTGAACTGGATTCAAGCTTGGAAAGGGAAACTCAATCTAGGCTTGTGGTGCTCATTAAATTTTTGCAATAAATGTGCCCAAGCTGAATAAAACTCAAGATTGGGATCATTACACTTGCACAATCCCCTATGCACGGTTTCAGTCAGCATATATAATCACAATATATATGAAATGTATAAAATGTTTGAATTAAAGCTTATGAACTTGCAAAATGGTGGCATATTGGAGTTAAACTAGCATCTCACTTTTTCACAACCTATTGGACTAGGATTTACTAAATATCACATTTCCTCTGGGCGTTAAATCTTCCAGTGAGATTACTGATCAAACATTAAGCTTCATCTAGACATTATTTTTTGTACTGTGTTTGCATAGCACTAAAGTCATTTGTTTGTGTTTGCTTGATATGTTCTCTTCTCTTACATGACAAAAGTTGTTACTGATTTTGCTAACTTGACAAGTATATTATTTCAGATAACTGCAATCTGATATTTGTTGTCTTCCATAGGGTTCAAGTGTTCCCTTAGTTGTCAAATGGGCTGATACTGAGAAGGAAAGGCAAGCTCGAAGAGCACAGAAAGCACAGTCCCAAGCTTCTAATGTACCACATACTGATTCCCAGCACCCGTCATTGTTTGGAGCCTTACCTATGAGTTATGTTCCTCCGTATAATGGATATGGTTATCAGGTTAGTTGTATTATAATATGCTACAAGACTATTTTCTAGCATATATTTTTTAATTCATGCAGTGTTTCTTCTGCATAGTTATTCATACAATCAGAACCCTTATATTTGTGTATTAATGTTAGTTTCATGTCTAACTTCTTGATGAGATGTGTGATGATAATCATTTTCTCTTGTTAGGCTCCTGGAGGTTATGGGATCATGCCATACCGCTTGCCACCAATGCAGAATCAACCTGGTTTCCATAATATGATGCCTCACATGAACCAAGGAAATGCAATGCGGCCTGATCTTGGCCCCAATATGAACCCTAGAAATTATCATATGCCTCCTGCAAGTTACGTTAGCTCTTATCCTACTGTCCCGGGTCTACAACATCCAATGGCATATCCTGCAGGAATGATTAGTCCAAGGCCTATGAATAGTTCTCCTGGTTCTGTTTCACCTGCTGGTGGAAATAACAACTCTGCTGCATCTTCAGGCGCCAGCAAAAATTCTGGGGGTCAGGTTGAAGGTTGTTATCTATATCTTATACGTGCTTGGGTGTAAATGATTCCATTCATTTATGCATGTTGATACATGTATTTCTATATTTTATCATCACTCTTTCCACACAGCAAGAAAGGTTACTTGATGATAATTCTATTTCTAATTATTTTATGTTCTGACTTAGGACCACCTGGTGCCAATCTATTTATTTATCACATACCTCAAGAATTTGGGGATCAAGAACTTGCGAATGCTTTTCAACCATTTGGTAGAGTTTTGAGTGCTAAAGTTTTTGTTGATAAAGCAACCGGTGTTAGCAAATGTTTTGGTAAGCCTATGCTCCATTTGTTAATGAATTTGGTGGGTTTTGTGTGGAGCTTGTGTTTGATGAGCTCCAGTATGCAGGGTTTGTTAGTTATGATTCCCCAGAGGCTGCTCAATCTGCCATCAGTATGATGAATGGATGCCAATTAGGAGGTAAGAAATTAAAGGTCCAGCTTAAGAGGGATAACAAACAGGGTAAACCTTACTGAGGAAGCTGAACAATGGAATTTTGTATAATTCACATTGTAATTCATGATCCCTCTGATGTTAATACAATTTGTAATTTCTGTAACATGAAAGTTCATTTAGACATTGATTATTAATTTATTGATTTTTCCTCACAACTCCTCTTGATTGTATTATCTTTTATAGTTTCATTCAGGATGAGATGATAATTTTGTTTGGCAAGCTTAGACAGCAACCACGGGTTTCGGACATGGCTTTATTTTCTTATTTGCAAAGTAACGCGGATTCTAATAAAACATAACACACGGCGCATAAAATAAACGTGAAATGACAGATTAATTACTTGATGTTTAATAACAAAATTAGAGATTTAAGCATACTATTTTGTGGAGTTTGCATGAATATCTGCTACATCAATTACGTCCGTTGAGAATGGCAGTGACAAAAGTGAACAGTGGCTTTTAGTTAGGATTAATAAATGGTAATGGATACCTTTTCAATAGGAAATCCATGTAATTATGTTTTAATGAGGTGCTTTTGAACATGTTCTACAGAATTTATTGAGCTTATTTGATTGTGCAAGTTTATAAACTAAAAATGACATCTATTTTGGTTAAAATTGTAAGTATTCGCACACAGTGGTCAGTGGCTTCGTCCCCTACGGATGTGGCGAAAATTAAAATCGATGGGATTCTTAAGCCAGGTATTTAAGAGGTGGGAATCGGAGGTGTAATTACAACTTTTGGGGAGCTCTTGTTAATGGATCAGCAACTTTCGGTATTAAAACTCTTATATTTTTATATTTATTTATTTTTCTACATTCATTCTCGTTTATCTTCTTTCTTCTATGTCTCTTTTTTAATTATTACGTAATCCATTACATCTTTTTTTATTCATATTTCTCTCCTTTTTTTTCGGCTCACCTAACCCAAAAATGTGGGTGTGAACACTTTGATACTATGTGTTTTAATATCTTTATTACTTTGTTTATCCCACTCCGTACCCCCAATGCACACTTGTTGGATACTTATGTAGCTAGTAAAAATTAGAAACATCATGTCATTTTCTGGAAAATTAGGCCCCAACCTCCAATTGCTTCTTTGTTGCTTTGGGCTGTGTTTATTTCTCGTGTACAAAAAAAAAAAAACAAATATCAAAGTAGCTTACAATTATATTTAAAATTAAGTAATTTTAAATTATTAAAATTGTAAAAAGTATGTACAATTAATTTAGGTAGACTTTTTAAAAAATAAGTTTAAAGAAATATTCAATTTGAAAATATGTATAATTGGTTTTTAAACACAGCAGCAGCAGCAACGATAATAATAATAAATAAATAATTTTATGCGCATTTATTCAATTTAATATGTAAGATAGATGCCTCCCAAAACATTGATAATGTGCAAAATGTGTTTTTGGATCCAAAATGTAAATAGAGTCAAATACAGTCTGACAAAGTTTGCAATAAAGAACGTTAATAATATACTTTTATCATTAGATAAATTTCATATAAATCTTATAAATTGAAGAGTAGGTCCAAATTATTTAGTGAGATCTGCCATGAAGTTAACCTAATAATAAAAATGTTTGTAGGAAATAACGTGTTAATAGCATTTACCGTGTGCAATTTACAATATGTGGTAATGAAATATAGCATAGATTAATATCTAATAAGTTTGGTTTAGTTTATTTTAAAAAATTAATAACTTTTTGAAAAACGATTTTAAAAAAATAATAATTTGAAACAAATATAAGTTAAGTTGCAGTTGAACTCTGGGCTGGCATCATTTACGTTGGGATTCAATATGCATCTCACAACAAGGATGGACACAAAGCTTTTGTTTAAATGACTAGTAATTTCTTTTATGGTTTAAGTAGGTTTTTATCCAATAAACAAAAATAAGTTTTTATCCTTATAACTATTATTTTTAGAATTAGCCTTTATCAAAAAGTTTTGTCAGTATTTAGTTTCTAACATTTTAAAGAAATGAAAAAATTAGTTCATATTAAAGATTAAATTCTAACAATTTTTTTTTGCAACAATGACTAATATTTTATTTTATTTTATTTTTATAAATATTAAGGAATAAATTCTAAAATTTTGTTACAGGGATTAATTTCAATAACAGTAATATTTATGGAAAATAAGAAAATGGAACATGATGACAAAAAAAAAGTCATTGTTCGAAGGATTATACAGGAAATGGAAGAAAAAAAACATGAGATTTAAAAACCGTCAATAATATTTTTTAGTGTAAGTACAGAAATTTTTTAAAAAATTGAAAAAGTAATAAAGCGTCAAAAATTATTAATAGTGATTTTTAAAAAAATATTAAAAATAAAAATAAGTTACTAATAACAATTTTTAAAATATTAATTAAATATTTAAAAATTAACAAAATGTAGTAAAAAATTGCTATTGACAATTTTCAGGTAAAAGTTGTCAACAGCAATTTAAAAAAAAAAAACTATATTTTTGAAATTTTCACAAAAAAATCACAAAGAAAAGAACCATTAAAATAATGAATTTATGATTATAGATATTCAAGAAATATTCGTTTATAATTATTTGCTGATGTTAACATGTTCAGTTATATTTAGATAAACTTTTGTTAATATGTCTTACCTTTTCGAAATAGAAAAGATAATTTTTGATAGTTAAAGAAAAAATACACTATATGTTAAACACATCCCCAATTTAGTATTAATTATAAGTATATGCATTCTATTTTAATTATTCTTTGAAGGCATAAATGATGAACACCATAAACTTGTTTTAGACATCTGATGCAATGACAATTGCCCACACGCTTCTCAGATATATGCTGGCCGCCTAGTGCCTTCCACAAAAGTCAAGCTTTCTGATTATCACAACTTTTCTTTTCATTTTTTTTCTTCCTTTCTTTTATTTTTTATTTTTTATTTTTTAAAGAAACGAATTGCCACCCACCAACTATGGACCCATATTCAATGAGCACATCCATATTTCACACTTAATTTTTGGCAAAACAAAATGAAAATAACTTCAGATAGGGTGTGTGTAGATAAAATGTTTAGATAATCACAAATTTAAATGTTACTATATACCTAAAAAACAAATATAAAAAAGAAATAATCATAATATATAGTTAATTAATTATACCTAAAAAAAAAACCCACTTCTCATTTTTACTTATAAATATGAAAATTGTTTTATAAACATTCTTTAAGGTACGAACATTTAAAGACATCAAAAAATATGGTTAAATGTAACAAGTAATGTATAACAAACAAAATTGATTAATGAATAATAGTACTATTGAAAATGAAGGGTCAATTCATGATAATAATATTTCTCATCTCGTACCCCAAAGAAACTTAAAAGTAGAATCTGATGCAAGACAACTTGAACAGTGAAACTTAATTCACACATGTAGAACAACTCAACGGTGATGATTTCTCTTTAATGGACACTTTATTTCCTTATTACTATATTCAATAGTTTTAAGCTACTACCTACCCTGTTCTCTCTTTCCCGCGGCAGGTTAGTTCCTTACATAATTTATATTGAACCTTTGTCTCTCCCTTGCGGTGGAATTAGGAAGTGTAACACAGGTCAAATGTGACCAAAGATTTTTTCTAACTTGGCTGCCTTAAGTTTCATGCAGGCTATGCACCCCATAACGTGTATTCGCTATGCATTATCAAACACGGAATTCATCAGCTCATGACATGACAACAACATTAGCCAACATACCAACCTAAGGTTGGAGAATGTCACAAACAATCTGTACTTCAGTTTTGCCCCTAATTTTTATGCTTCATCTAAAAATATCTCTAAAACAATAACACTAGTACTAATACTAATAATAGTGCGGCAGATTTTTCGGACTTAGTCATTTTCTTCCATTGGTTCCCAAAATCAAAATTAAATATTTTTGGAGTAAGTCATGCATTGATCCAACTTGACTTGAGAACCATGAATTTTGACACCCGGAAGCAAAATATGTACGAAAAAAAATGTGGTTATTAAGATAATTCCCATTCATGTTCCTTTGTCTTCGATTTCTTCTAGAAGAGTGTTGGAACATGTCCCAATTACCATTGGACAAGCTAGTTGCTAACCCTCTAGAAGACCATGACAAATTTGAGGCAAATCCTTCTCCTTTAATAATGACCATTGACTAGTCCCATCTGATAAGAGGCCAAATTTATTGAAAGATTGCTCCATCAGTGTCACAAAAAGTATCACACAAGACACCGCTAGTTTGCCTTTTGATTTCACTGTTATTGGAGTAGCTGAGAGATGCCCTTTTATTGTCTTGGGTCCAAACATTGCAGAATTTCAAGACATCAAACGATAACCATTGCCTCTGGTTGCTACAAGGTCGATGGACATGAAGAACCCTTATGATGTTTCTTCTTCTTGTATGCTTCTTGAGGCCACTGGTGACTCTGAAGTTGATTGTAGTCCCATTATGGGTGATCATGCTTTTGAATTTGGCAGAGCTGATGATGATGATGCTCAGTCTTGCAGCTATGATAATTCTGAGACTTTTAGTGCTGCTGAGCTAGATGGATATGAGTCTTTGAATGATGATGATGGAGATGAGAAGAAAAATGATGTTCATGGAACTTCATATTGTGAAGATGATGAGATGCAAGGACACAATAAGTCCTGTGTGTCTGATGATTCAGGCCAAGAGTTGGTGGATGAGATGGAAAAGAATAGGCTTTTCTGGGAAGCTTGTTTGGCATCTTGATTGTGTTTATGGGATTTTTTTCCTCTCTGAATATGTGTTCTGGCTTAATGACTATCCCAGAGGAGCTTAGCTGCAGAAGCATTTATTCTTATATATATATATATATATACAGACGATTGTGGGGGACGGGTCTATTAAACTTGTCTAAAAGATACAGCTTTCAATTGTATGTATTCATAAACTGATTTGTTTACACCACATTTTATGGTTTTTATCCATTCAAAGGTTCAGGTCTTTTATGCAATTCGTTCCACAATTCATAGTGGAACATACAGGCTGCAGCATCATTCTAATAACTTTAAAATGAATTTTTTATATAAAATTTTTGGTATGTTTGTTTGTACTTGTATAAATCAATGATCCTTTCATTGTATATTATTCAACAAGTACCTTTTATCATAGTTTAACTATTTGTGTAGCATACTCCTGTAGTAATCTTGCTACAGAATTGGTTGATTCAGTAGTCTTTTGAAATTCAGATGATCAGGTATCACTGTGAAGGAGATTCAGAAAAGTGGAGTGCTTCGAAATACTCTCTTGATTTCTGACTTTTTGATGTGGAAGACACGGCACAGAGACACGGAAGGCTTAATGGGCAGGAAAGTATTTGGGTTTAGTTTCGGCTCACCGATTGAAAATCCTCCCATCTTGATGAATCTCTGAAGCTTTTTAGTGAATAATAATTGCAATATAACATGTGATCTTTAGAATATTTGAAAATCAATTACTTTCCAAGTCGGTTGGTGAGACTTTCACGAATTGTGTTAGTGAAAAATAATCGGAATATGACATGTGATCTTTAGAATAATTAAAAAAATCATTTATTCTCCACTGAGTTTTGCACTATATTACTAATATGTATAATCGAATATTCAAATTTCACACATTATCAAAGAACAACTTGCCTTACCATTGAAAAAGAAAAGTATATGGTCAAGTTAGTGGACCTTCGTGACTTGAATTAATGAATAATAATTGCAATACAACGTGATCTTTTGAATAATTGAAAATCACTTACTGTCCAACTCAGTTTAGCATTATATTACTACTAGGTATGATTGAATATTTAAATTTCAAACATAATCAAATAGCAATTTGTCTTTACCAATTTAAAAATAAATAAGTATTTGAGCAAGTTAGTGGACCTTGTTTATGTAATGTGCATTCAACCAAACTTCCAAAATGGTGGAGGCTAGAATAGGATTCAACATTGAGCTACCAGTAATGTAATTTGGATTCATTCCCATCAAATTTTAATCATGCACAGATACAAAGCAAACACCATTTTCAGGCTAGAACAATCTCCCTATTTTCCTAAGAATTCATCAATGCATACAACTTAATCCTATGTGAAATTAAATGGACTAGCTACTCCTTAGATACCCATCTCAAGTACCATAGTTAGAATTGTCTAGTACTGGGACACACAGAATCAGGTCAAATTCAGCCCTAAACTGAACATAACCGTCCCAACAATTCACAATAAACAAACACATTGCTAGTACTAGCTGCTCCGGGTCCTAATTAATTTACACAAGCAACCCTGCTTGTAGGGACAAAATCTAAAAACAAGGGTACTTAAACACTGCGTAAAAGAAACTCATTTCTTAACTAGATGCAAACAATGGAACTAGTGAAACAGAATCTGTAAATTTATCCATCATCTCCACATCATTGGTGCTTGTACTTCCTATAGATGGACTACTTGTGTCAACACATGACCCCTCAGCAGTCAAAGTTGTTCTTGACTCATCTCCACAAGTGGAACTTGAGCATGAATTCCCAGTTTTGATATCAGTAAATGATAAAGCAGATTCCAAGTTATAGCTAGAGGCCCTTGGGCTCTCCAACTTCTCGTTTTGCAAACACCCTGCAGGTTCTTCTGAAAATCTTTTTGTTTTCTCGTCCAATCGCTTCAAGAAGCATTCCACTATCTCACTTACAGATGCAGCACCCACCCCTTCCTCTTCACTGCTATCATCATAATCTAACTTGGTCTCTCTCAATTCACCATTGGTATCCATTTCTTGCTGACTATCATATTCATCCTCAGATTCACGATCTGATGAATGAAATGACATTGGTGAACATGTTGCTATTGCTGCAGCTGTTTCTTCGCGCTCTCTAAGCGTCTTTAGTATCAGAGTCTTCAGTAAATTCATCACTTGGACCGCATGCATCAGGGCAGTTAGTGGATCAGACATCTGTTTCAGGAGACAAACAAAAATTGCGAATTAAGAATACACAATTTCCTAGTTTGCACGGTTGTCATGTTAACTATATAACAACAAAGTATTACGATTGTCTTATGTAAAAGAAGATCAAGCACATTAAGAATATTAATGATTCAAATTTCAAACAGAAAAGGAATATGGAAACGTACCTGAGTCATATTTGGAGCAAAGACCATTGCGATGTTTCTTGCATCCATTTTGTTATACTCCTCATCTACTACAACATCGGCCATTAGATCAATGGCCCAGTTGAGCAGGGCTGACTCAGTTGGCTTTAGCTGCTTCACAAGCTGAACAGATTCTTCTTCTGTGCTGCACTGAAGAACTTGCTCTGGGGATAGTCCATCAAGCACTCCCGAAGGAAGCTCTCGGAACCATGCTTTAATTAGGCCAGCCAAGCAATGGACATCAATGTCATCTGGCACAATGCCCCTATTCAACTGCTCCCTCAAGTGCTCCTCTTGACTGTTTTCAGGGTTTATGCGAAATATTCCTTCAGCCTGAAAATTCATTCAGAAGAGACAACAAAAATTATAGTCAATGATACATTCTCACAACGCAGTAGCAGTTGCTATAAATGACAAAGTATATCACAAATTTGCTACCTACCTTTAGGCCTCCCTGAGAGTATAATTTCTCCTGCATTAACAATAGAATAGTGGGGACACTGTTTCCTTTGGAATCATACGAACACTGCATTGATTCAGCTGAGACGCCAAATACGCTGACACTGCAAGTGTTGGTGATGACAAATCACATTAGAGTACGGAAAAAGAATTAAATAAAACCTTGCTAGATAAACTTTAGGGAAGAAGGAGAAAATGACACGAGTCAAAAATTTTCTAAAAATTTAATTGTAGCAAACACCTCATAATTCATAAGAAACGTTAAATAAACATATAATAGTACACAGTTCAGTAAACAACTCTTGCTTATTTGAAACCAAAACATCCTCAATCCTAGTCGGGCAAAATGGCTTGCTTGCATTTTACTAAGTACACTGTACACGCAAAAGCTGAAGAAAATATGAGAACTTTTAAATCATATATTACCGTTACCCACACTTTTCAGCAAATAAAAGCAAACTTTAAATTGCTTTTAATGCAACTAACTATTAACTTTTTAAATTGGCACCCCCATTCCTCCACACAACATAACAAGAACCTCATCGAAGGATAATGAGAAGCCTCATTACTCTTGTTTGAAGCATTCCTCCGTCAACTCAGACATTAGAAACGTAGAAGAAAAACAGAAACAAACCCACCAACAATGAAATCTCTAAGCAGGAAAAAAAAACAATTGAAAAAAATAAACTTTAAGCGTTTTAAGCAAACCCCATTTGAAATAGAGTGGAAAGAAAGAAGAAGTACCTAGCACTGGGAACAGGAGCGGGTACATCAACCTCTAACTCAAGGGGAAGACCCAGAAAGCCATTGAAGCGATCGAAGGTGACGTGGCTGACATGTTTAACGTTGGTGGGCCATCCAATCTCCATAGGATGCACGGCGGAGATGACGTCATCCGGACTGTCGACGCTGCACGCCACCATCGATTTTCTTAGCGCCGCCAACAGAACCGCCACCGGCGAGGCCTGGTTTTGGTCTTCTTCGCCTTCTCTTGCTCCTCTCCTTCCCTTCCCGCCACCGCATCCTCCACCCTTTGTCACCATCACTGGCCCTGTCATTCTTATCTTCTTCCTTCCACACACACACACACTCTCTCTCTCTCTCTCTATTATCTCTCTCTCTTAAATGGACGAGTGGCGACAGATGTATTTTTATATTTTGTTTGGATTGGGAGTGAAGAGTGGGAGACACAGATTTTAAATCTTAGGATGAGTTTGTTTCCGAATGCATTAGTAGTTACTATGTTTGTGTTTGTGTTTATGTTTAATGTTTATGTAGCTCTCTTCCTTTCTTTATCTGCCTCGTGAACTTTGAAGCGCAACGGCCACTCGTTTCAAATTTTGTTTGAGAGGCTAACTTTATCTAACAGTACTCTGTCCTTTTTGACCTTCGTGTCTATCCCCATTTAACATTTAACTCCATCTTTTGTCTTCAACTCAACAATTGTTTTTTTAATTCTCTTACAACGTTGACACCTGTTAAATTAACTTATTCAACTAAATAATTATATATATATATATATATATATATATAAAGTTATTATAATTTTTGGTTGTTTTAGTTTCCTTTGAATTATTGTCATTCTTTTCAAGGTAAGATATTTTTTTGCAAAATGAAACATAGTTAAATGGTGTAATAATAACGAAAATAAACTATTGAAATAAATAGTACAATGTTGAAGGAGACAATAAATGGAAAACAAAAACACTAAAACGTTGAAGGTAAAAAAATAACTTATGGGATATAAATTCAAGTGTTAAAAAACTATATCATAAACTAATGAAATAAGCCCGTTTCCTAATTAAATCCCGTTTTGATCAAGCAAGTTCATAAAATAATGATGTTATAAATTTACTAAACAATTATGAGATGGTTGAAGTGATTATTAGTACATGTCTAAAATTTGCTGCATATTATTTTGTTTCCTTCTTAATCACTGATATTTTGGTTATTGCTGTGCAAAAGAGGAATAATTTTGAATGACAAACTTTTCCTTCCTTCTCCATGCATTTTGCACTTGGACTTTCAAGTATATCATGAATTTTGAATTCGAAAGAAAGTGATAAAAATAAACGGAGTCAAATTTAAGGACTTCTCGTATTTGGAAATTAGAACAAATTCAGGAATGAAACAATAAATAAATACCTTATTTTTATTTATGGAAACAATAAATAAAAAATTCAGGACTTACCATAGATCCCACAATTTTGTTTTCTCTCTATTCGAGATAACATTTGAAGGATGAATGAAACAATAAATAAATACCTTAATTTTTCCACATACACCTATTTGATAATAAATTAAACTGTGCATTGTTTTATATAAAGGATAAAAACATATTTATATAATATCCAATCAAATAAGTAAATAAATTTTTCATTCTCTTCTACTTTTTCTGATTCAAATAACATAAAAAATTACTTATTTCTTTGTTTTCATGCTTTTTTAAAAATTTACCTTTTCATAGTAAAAAAAATATTAAAATAAATTTATTAATAATAGTTCTCGATTGATTCTAAACATATAAAAATAATATTATTTATTAAAAAGAATAATATCTATTAATTTTGTGTATTTCCAACATAATAAGAATTTTTAAAAAATAAAAACTATCATTTTTAATTTCTCAAAAGAAAATCCAACATTGAATTTAACATTTTATTTATTAAAAATCCTTTTTTTTTCGTTTGACTATTTATATAAATTAGAAACAAAGCAGGGGTTAAAATCTACTTATATAAATTATTAAATCTTAAAAATGTTTCAGTTTTCAGTTTTGATTCTTATAAAATTTTATTCTCATGTTTTTGTAAAATAAAGAAAAACGACTAAAATTAAAAGTCGTACTATTTTTAAGAAATAATATTTCTTAAAAACTGATAAATAATTGAGAACCCGTTAACCCTATAGTCTTTATAGCCAAAAAAGTGATATCATTTGCTACCTGTTAGTGAGTGAGCCAAAAAAAACATGAATGTGTAAAAGTGATTTGATTTGTCTATAAGAATAATGGAATTTAATAATGAAGAACATAATCAAATACTCTGATGGCTGGCGCAAGGACAAGTTATCAATTTCCAAGAATCATAGAAAACTATGTACCATTGCTTGGACAGTGGAATTCGAATTTTATGGAAGACCGTTGAAAAAAGAAGATGATCGTTTTTCCTTTATTGCTTCTTCTTCTTCTTATTGGATGCACCTTTTCATGTCCAGCTAAGTATATGCATCCTTTATACCACATTCTAAATGCTTTATGGGAAGCTTATTGCAATCACAAACGTTTACGTTACATATTCTAAATGCTTTTATGTGACACCTTCCAATAACCTTCTAAATTTTCCCTTCATTTTTATTTGCTTCTCGTTCCTTCAGTGTGTTAAAAGAAACATAATTATAGTTCCCTTAGGCTTTTTTAATGTCAACCAATTATGAGTTTTTTTTTAAATTATTTAAAATTTATGTTACATATGATAACATTTAAAATATTCACTTTGAATTATACATCAAATATTTTCGATCGATTACAGGGCCAATGGGAAGGCTCCACCTGTTACTTGTATACATTTTTTGAATAATAATAGGGTCCTACTTACTGGGTCCTTTTATTCGGTTCTTGGGCACATGGTTATGGTATATGCAATATTTCTTTGCTTTAAACTCGAAACCTTAGCTGTAATCCTTTTCACTTCTTTGTCGTATCTGCCATTAAATCATTCATAATGAGATAGTTGATTCTGTCGATTTTGTATCGATTTTTTTTTTATAGAAGTCTTGCACTGTTCTTCAATTCTATTTACTGTTTTTTTTAATATTAAAATAAAATTTACATAATCTTAAAATAAATGAGTCCTGAATTTTACTTAACTAGTTTGTTTGGTTTATCTCAATAAAAGTTCAGATGAGCTAAATTTCGAAACTTACTGAAACGTAACAAAATGTGTAGCGTCTATTTGCATTGAAAGTGGAACAAAGCTTGGTCATTAACAAAAATTGAGTTCAAGACTTTGATTTTGTCTGAAAAATGTGTTATTTTCTTTAAATGTATAAATTAAATAAAACCTTTGAAAACATTTAAAGAAATGCTTACACAAGGCCCCTGCTTTAGGAATAAAACTCAATTTCACAAATCTACGAGGGCATAAATTTGGTCATTATTAAATTGTATCAACATTCATTATCCTATAAGTAATACTAACTTTTTATTATTTATTCAGAATTATAAAAATTACATAAGCTTTGTTTTTTTATATCTTTAAATTAATATTTTTGTTTCATACTTTGTTTATTTTTTAATAACTTTTAATTAATGATAAAAATATACTATTGCTAACATTATTCTTTATTCAATTTTCACTTCCATTTATTTTGTTGAACAAATACAGCGTATGTGAATCATAGCAAACTGACATGTTTTTAATTGAATACTAAACTTCGCATTTTTCTCCTTATTTTGAATATATAATATACGACTTAAAATATAAATAAGTATTTACAGAAAATGATAATTTTTTTTGTAAAATTAGTTTAAGCAAATTTATTTAATTTAAATGTATTTTATAAATTTTGTTTAAACAAATTATAATAATTTAAACAAATTTTGTACGTTTAAAAAAATAAAAGCTAAGTTAAGTGTAAGAAAAAGAGAGGAATGAAAATAAATGGAGATAAAAAAAACAATTATATAAGAGTGATGAAAAATATAACTGAAGTTTCAGTTCTCGTTTTAATAGACTGAATTAGATTCGATTGTTAATGAGTTTGTTTTAATGTTAATTGAATTTGAAATTTTCTTACTTCCCTAAAACTCCGTTCTAAATGCCTCGTAACTCAGGATTCATCTATAAACTCGGTTTCATGGAATATCCAAAACAGTCAATATTGACCTGTTTGTAGAGCTCTTATAACGAAATTATGGAGAATTGATAATTCGCTCCTCATAAAACATGCCTTGATAAGTGTGTAAACTCAAACAGGTTACAGGTACCATAATTATTATTGAAGAACACCATGGCTGGTGAGTGGTCAGCATAAAAATATCAAAATTATAAAGTATGAATCAATTTAATTCTTAAAATTAAAAAATATTATTTAATTTCTAACCTTATTAAAGATAGATTATGGCAGTCAAACCAAAGAGCTTAGTAAGAGGGTTTGATCAGCACAGCTTATGGCCCTGAAGAGCATGAGTTTCCTCTGATTGATAAACACTAACATGCAAGCATGAAATTACTCAAGTTATATTGAGAATCAACAATTGAAACAAAATAACTAAATGCATTTACTGGGTATGTAACACACAATTGGAACAGGCCGCCACTTATTCAGTATCAGGCTTTTCACTTGAAATGAAAAATGGATCAAGATCCATCTTTGAACCTTTTTTACAATGAAGGTGCCAAGAAACATGTCCATGATGAAACCGTTAATTTGCAGTTTTGCTTTGTGATATACCTTTAAAAAATGATAAAAATGTTATTAATGAATATGTTTTGGATGCAGTTAGAATATTTGAAAATATTTTTTTATAAATTATTTAAATTTTATAAAATGATAAAAGGTAAATATTTTATTATATTAAAATGGATTAAATTAAATAAATAATATTTAAAATAAATTTTATAAATTTTAATTTAAAATTATTAAATACTTAATCTAAAAGAAGACACATGATCCTATGAAAATCTCATTTAATATATAAAAATAAATAATTTAAGAAGATAAATAAATAAAGTAAAAAAAGTATGATGGAGATGTAAAAACAATATAGTGAAAAAAAGCATATTTAAAAAGTTATTGATGTTAAAATTTGATATTTAAAATGTTGCAATGACTTTTTTGTAGTTTTAAATTTTTAGTTGTGAGTTGCATTATTAATATTTGATTGACTGATTTATTTTTTCAATATTATCATCGGAATTTGAATTTTATTGATAGTGGTTTTTTATCAGACTAAATATACGATGGCAATTAGGATATATGAAATTACAACAGATGTGCGATTTATCATATTGTATCTTTAACGATGGATTGTATAACATTGTTATTTATTAATTTAAAGTTATTTGCACCTATACACGTTAACTTAAAATTGTTTTTTTTTTATATTACATAAAATTCACATATTTATTTATAACCATCAACAAAATATTAAAGTTTTTAAAAAATAATAAACTGATATAATCAATCTATGTTAAATCAACCGTAATTCAGTTTTGACACAAATATACGGAGGTGATTTGAAGTAAGAAAATCTGAGCCGAAGATCAGATCCAACGGCGTAGGTTGCATCATGGTACATTTGTTACTGTTGAGTCTATATATCTGTGGCCGTCGACGGCGAGAGTGAGAGTTCTTTTCGTTGCGCGCAGCTTTTCTACTATCACAAGCCATTCCATTCCCCAAACGCTTGAATTCGACTCCAACACAATCAAACCAATTCTCCAACATATAATTGAAATTGCATCGTCTCAATCAGAGAGAGAGAGAGAGAGACAATAAAAAAGTTAGAAATCAACGATGATGCTTAGAATTCGAAGCCGCGACGGCCTGGAGCGCGTGACGGTGGAGAATCCACGCGCCACAACAGTGTCGCAACTAAAGAGCATAATCCAAACGCAGTTGGGGATTCCGGTGCAGAACCAAACCCTCTCCACCAACCAAAACCTTCTTTTAGCGAAGTCTCTTGAAGATCTCCTCCGATTCACCGACATGTCCAACCCCGACGCGCCCCTCTCTTCGCTCAACCTCTCTCACGGTTCCATCGTTTTCCTCGCCTATGACGGCGAACGGAGGGTCCCTGGCCCTGCCTTCAACCCCGCCGGCTCCTTCGGCCGCAAGATGACCATGGACGATCTCATCGCCAAGCAGATGCGCGTCACGCGCCAGGAGAATCCGCATTGCGAACTCGTCTCCTTCGACCGCGACTGCGCCAACGCGTTCCAGCACTACGTGAACGAGACGCTCGCGTTTGCAGTGAAGCGCGGTGGGTTTATGTACGGCACCGTTTCGGAGGAGGGGAGGGTGGAGGTGGACTTCATTTACGAGCCTCCCCAGCAGGGTTCTGAGGAGAATCTATTGTTTTTGAGGGACCCAGAGGAGGAAAAGTTGGTGGAGGCTATTGCTTTGGGGTTGGGTATGAGGAAGGTTGGGTTCATTTTCACTCAGACTATAAGCCAAGATAAAAAGGATTATACTTTGTCTAATAGGGAGGTTCTTCAGGCTGCGGAGTACCATGCCGAGAGTGGGTTGAAGGAGTGGGTCACTGCTGTGGTTAAGCTTGAGGTGAATGAGGATATGGGTGCTGATGTTCACTTTGAAGCCTTTCAGATGAGTGACGTGTGTGTTCGGTTGTTTAGGGAAGGGTGGTTTGAGACTGATATAAAGGAGGATGATGATCCCAAGTTGTCTAAAATGAAGAAGGATGTGGTTGTTGGAGTTAAGGATACAAGAGAAGTTGATAATGATTTCTTCTTGGTGGTTGTCAAAATCTTCGATCATCAGGTATTTATGTCATTCCTTGCTTTTGTTCCATGTCAATGTAATTCTGACTGTGAATTGTGATTTTCTCCTGGCAATTACCATGTTTTCTCAATTACTTCTGTTCTGCCCTTGGGCTCTGACTTGGTTCTCATGCTGAGATTTAAAAAAAAAAAGATCATAACCCCGCTGCAACTGAACCCTTGTTTTAGGATGATCGTCAAAAGAGTTTGTTTTAGTTCTCCATGGTTACGGGGTTTGAACATTTATGATGTGTGTGGGGTACCATTCCATCTAAATCTCTCACCTTTTGATCCCTCTGAATTTGGTAGTGCCGAGAAAGCTTTGCTTTTCTTTTGAAACTTGTTTATTATTTTACTCTATAAATTTAGTTGCTTATAGAAGCTAAACTTTATGCTTATAACCTTTTTTCTTTACTCATTAATTATCAAAAAATGGGAAGGGCGATATTTTTCAGTTTCATCGCTTCTCATTCCCTCCCTTTTCATACTATTCTTTCTTTCTAAAACTTCTGAACATATCGTAATTGAGTTTGTGGCTGTGTGTTGTCTCTTACCAATTACCATGTGGCGTCTATACATATCATCTGTGTCTCTACCGTATTCAATAAGTTTTGATGCATATACAATTGTGTCACTGGTATATCCATGTCAAAGATTTGTCTGACACTGGTATGATGGCCTTCCAGTTGTGTTGGTGCTTCCTAGGTAAAATTATTTGAGACTGAGGGGTATGACTGCGAAGGGTAAAGCAATGTGTGAGTTATAGTAACACTGACCGGAGTAAAATTAGCTGTTAGGCAAATTATATATATGCAAGAAAAAATAGTGGCGAAGAACATTGAAGACTTTTTTGTATATGTAAATTGAATCACACACTTGTATAGGATTAAGTACACGAGTCATGACTAATTCATTCACTGACAAATGATGAGGTAAATAGCTTTACACATAGTCTCTTGACATGCTTAGTTTTGTCTTATAAGGTGCATATTGGCGTTCTTTTTGACTTTTAATTAGTCAACATAAACTTATGCATTATTTTGTCTACAACACTATTTTTCATACAACATTCAATTTATGATCATAAGATGCAAATAATTATGAAATTTAAACAAGCTTCTGTAGTTCCTTCTGGAGCATGGGGTAACCTTCAAAGGCATAAAGTGAGACGGTTGAAACGTTGATTCTTAGCAAATTCATGTTGAGATTAATGTTGAGTATATAAAAATGGCATACTAAGCTCTGTTGAGCATGGGTTTTTATGAAAGAATCAAATGGACTGCATGTATGTTATGAATTTCAGGTAGTACAAAGAGAGAATAACTGTCTCTGCATCTGCATAAGTCAATTCCATGTTTTTGAGGATCTGGCTCTTCAAATTGATATTTGGTTTCAGTGGATGGTAGTAAGATCATAGAACAGTGAGTCAAAGTGATTTGCTTCTCTTCCATTTATAGACTTAATAATTGAAGGGAGCATGGTTTCCATGGAGATTGATATTATCAACAACTGCACTGCTATGCTACACTGTGATACTGCTGCAAAAGTGGGCTATTAATTATTCTAAAATAACTCAATTGTTTGATCGGTAGGGACTAGTTTAATGCAAAATAATGTTTCTTTGTTCATGCCAAAGAATGTAATTGGATCATTCAAGTGAACCTTTTTTTTTTTTATAATTAAGTCTCTAGCCTTTTGGGGGGAATAAGGAAATGTTTTCTATTAAGTCTCTAGCACTTTTCATATCATTCTTCCTTTCCTGCAATCTAGTAAATTTCCTGAACAAGGTTTGTGTAGAGGGTAGATATTTTGGTTTAAGGAGTCTTCGGTTCTCTAAGATAAAGGATGTTTAAATTTTCAAATGATGGTTATAGTTAGATAGAAAGTGTATTTTGTCGTCACAAAACTTGAGAATTGCCATTTGTCATTACAGGAATATCATTATACTTAGAAGCTCGAATGTTATTTATTCTATTGTTCATGAAAGCTGCAGTTGATTTAGAAACTTTTCACGAAAGTTTGTAGTATGAAATGGGTGCAATAGTTTTATTTTACACTACTCGCTGCATATTTTCACACTTTATTTTGTGCGAAAGTTTTGTTCTATGATACTGCTTTTGTTCTGCCTTGTTATTTGTGTGTTTTTAAAACATTTATAGATTTTCCATTTTTAGTTGTATTGTTTTGTTTTAACAGAGTAATGAGATCATCTATATATTTAGGAATCTTTTTTATTTTCTGTTGAGATAGGTTGGTTGTAGTAATCGTTGTTTTTAAAACAGATTAGTTGTTGTATCAGTGAGGCACCTGTTCTCAGTTCAATAGTTCACCCCTAGTTGAACTATGATTGAACTGATAATAATATAAATTTGATTTTTGACGGAGTTCAATGGTGTCATATTATCTAGTAGCTGACCTTAGCTAATGAGATAAAGATTGTTTGTTGTTGTTTGTGTCAATTAACAACTAATGTAAAACAAAGAAGGCATAGTGGGGGATGGGGTCTTCCTGCCTTCACCCGCCAAAAGAAGTGAACAAAGGAGCATGGGTCATATGGTCAATTAAGGACTCTAGTGTTAATATATCAACAGTCAAATATGTTAATGATTTGTTTATCAATTTGATATTCTGATGCGGTGGTTCAACACTTTAGTCATTAATGACAAAGGGATATTTAAAGCTTCTTCTGCTTGGTCGAGTCATGCAAGCTTGACCGAAATTGCAGGGAACTTACAAGTGTATTGTCCCCAAAATGCAGGGTCCTCTTTCATCAACATTTCCCATTGAGAACCGAAATACTCAAGTGGCAATGAAGGCTCTGAAGAATCACCTTGAACGAGCAAAAAATCTTCCATTTGTGAAGCGAATTTCGGATTTTCATCTTCTTCTCGTATTAGCAAGGCTTTTAGACCTGAATGCTGATGTTCCTGCATTGACAGAATGTGTGCAGACACAAAATGCTGTACCAGAAGGTTACCAGATCCTCATTGAGTCTATGGCAAACGCTGCTTGATGCTATATGCAAGTGCTCTGGGCTCATTTAGAATGGTGACAAACGAATTATGCACTCTATATTCAGGTCCTTTGCAGCAATATGGTACATATTGCTCCGCAGCTGTCACTGAATGGTGGTATTTTGTACATTGCTTCTTATAGCATTGCTGCGGAAAAATCTCGCATCTGTCACTATACTGAAAATGAGCTGATGTTGTGGTTCACTTGTTTTAATATTTAAATTAATTGGAGATAGATCATACCAGTGTTCACTATTTTAAGTGCGATAATCCTACAAATTATGTTATGAAGATGTTTTAAATGTTTGTGTTCAATGCCCTAATGGAATGGCCTTCACAGGCACTGTAGGCGTGGAGCTGAGTGTCGAACTTGGCGATGAACAGCATTCTTGATCCTATGCTCCACGAATATTTGAGTTTTTGCATGCTACGCATGACTTAAATATTGTTATATACATATTTTTGCGGTTGTTTTTTAAAAATATTACTAAGTATAAAAGTTCAATAAAATATGTTTGGTGTGCAATATTAACAAAACAGTACTCGCACTAATAAACAATAAACAAATATACCATAAATTATTTCTTTTTTGAAAAAGATAAATTATTTTTTCAATATTTTTCCTAAAATTATATATATATATATATATATATATTGTGACATATTATCAAAGAAAATATGTTTTATTCAAGTATCTTAAAGAAGCTGATTAAAAAATTATTCAAAGTTATAGGAGGTTGTTTCTTAAATGTATTTTTTAGTTACATTTTCTTTACTTGAGGCATTAATTTAGGGCTAAAAAGTTGATATAATAAAATGTTTATGAAATATATTCTGATTGCAAAATATGCATTTACTATAACAGGTCATTTGTCTGTATAATTTTTTATTAATTCTTATTAAGATCAATTAGAAACTTTCTAGTTTTTTGAGAGTCGTTATTTCTAACTTTCTTAGATTTTTAATTGTGTTTAATATTTTAAGTTAAATTTAATGACAATTATGTCAAAATAATTGAGGCGATAAGATTGACGTTCAAAATCATTATATAAATATTTAAGTATGAGAACTATGATTTGATAAACAATTTAGCTTCTTTGGATAAAAAATACTTTCAAGGCATTTGAACTTAAGATAAGATAGGAAATTTATTAACTATCATAGAATAGGATAGAAAATAAATCACGTATTAAAATACACTTAAAAAGCTAAAAATGCCCTAACTATGGAACACTCGACTCGAGGACTACATGATGCCTTGGACAGTCTGAACTCAACAATCCACAGAAATTCTCTTCTCGTTTTACACTAATCATACCTTTACCTTAAATTTCTAGATTCTTTTTTTCATTACTAAATATAATAATTGGCATCTTACTTGAGAAAACCATAAGTATGTCGTTTAATAATTTTGACTAATTATTTTTATCATAACTTTTTATGTAATTGCATTACATGACCAAGAAGCAAAACAACCATAATTCTACACCCAACCCAATAACTCAACTGTTTTACTTTTATTTTCTTCTATCAAATTTGTATTTAAACAGTAATTAACGAAACAAATTATTTTAATTTCACACACTCAAACCAAAAAAGAAGGCAAAGTTGTATCAGGCTCAACAAAATTGAACATCTTCCCTCGAATGTCGTGTAACCAAAATATCAATCATGAAAATTTTAATGAATAATCCATCGTCGCTCACCGGCTCAAGTTGTGAAAAAGGAAAAACAGTTAAAATCCAAATAGTATGGTGTATTGGGTCATAATTGGTGAATAACCGTGGTTTGGCGGGAGATTTCTTATCTCATATTTGGAGTCCCAAAACCCCTTTTCCACCTTCTTCTTTATAGTTCCATCCCCGCGTCGTGAGTGTGAAATCGCAGTGTGGCAGAAGCATATTAGGTCATGGAAGAGGCAGCACCACCCTCCGAAGCATCCACTCGCCGTCCCGTCAGTTTCAATTTTCACACTCCCCACTTATACTTGCTCTTTTTCTCCAATCGTGTAATTTCATTTCGACCTAATTTTGTTTCGCTGCTCTCAAATTTAGCAGAAGAGGGGAAGACCTCCGGCTGCAAAGCAACATGCCAAGGAGCTCGACGGCGACGCCGAGAACCGCGCTAGGACTAGCGAGCAAGCCGAACGAGAAAGTTCACCCGACGATTTCGACGAACCGCGCGCGAAATCTAAGCGAAGTCGTGTTTCCGAAGGAACCTCAAGCGTCGCGCACAAACTCTCTGATCAAACCTTGATTGGTAAACTAAACACACTCTGTTACTTTCCTCACTGCTAAAAAATCTAGGGTTCAGAGTTTTAACTTTTATCGTTGTTATTTTTGCCAATTTCGTTAGTACCGTAATTCTTGAAGTTATGCGTAGTTGTTCTTTTGTTATAAATAATATTTTTAGTCTAGATTATTTTGATTTACTTTTTAGGTCTGGAGTTTGTTTGGGGCTGTAGAATTTTTTTATGCAGCAACTGGACCGGGGCTAATTTTCATGTATGATTTTCTGTAGAGGTGGTCAAAGGAAATGGCAAGCTTATTCCTCATGTGGTTAAATTTTGGGTTGAGCGCTATGAAAAGGATCCAAAACCTTCAATGGTTGAACTCTTGACAATGCTGTTTGAGGTAATATAGAATTCTTAAGTAGTTAAAAAATTTAAAAGAGCGTTAGAGGTAGTCATTTTAGTTTCATGTGAAAATCAAGGGCCAGGAGTAGATTTGGTTAAACCTTGAAAAAATTATTATTTCATCAATGCTCAGGCTTTTAGTGGAAAAAAATATCCTTATTTATTTATGAACTCTAATGGGTTGCGATAAAATGATAGTTTATATTGTGTAGGCTTGTGGAGCCAAGTATTATGACAAAAGTGATCTCTTGGATGAGGTTGACGTTGATGATGTTGTAGTTGCTCTTGTCAACTGCGCTAAAAGGGTATTAGACTTGTTCCCTTTTATTTTTGTTTTCTGTTTGTCTTTTTTTCAAAATTTACTATTTTCTTTGTAGTGATGATGCTAACAGTATACCATTAACAAGTCTTGGCTTCCTCTCTTTTGATGTAATGTCAAATTATGAGTTAGATATAGACATTGATCCTCTGTTTTTACGTTTGACATTTTAGGGGGAAGTTGAAGATTATCAAAATTCCAAAAAGAAAGAATTTAAAAACTTCAAAGAGAATCTAGAATCATTCTGGGATAACCTGGTTCGTGAATGTCAGCATGGTCCATTGTTCGATCAAGTTTTATTTGACAAATGCATGGACTATATCATTGCACTGTCATGGTTAGTATGGCTATGTAAAACTTCTTATTTTAGCAAAAATATATATACAATGACTTATGTGCTGCTTTACCTATGTAGTACGCCTCCAAGAGTTTACCGCCAAGTTGCCTCAATGATGGGTCTTAGGCTGGTCACATCATACATAACTATTGCTAATATGCTTGGTGCTCAAAGAGAGACTACTCGTAGACAGTTGGATGCTGAGAAAAAGAAAAGAACTGAGGGGCCTCGGGTGGAGTCACTTAATAAAAGGTTTTCTGATACTCATGAGAGAATAACATTATTGGAGGAGATGATGCGCAAGATATTTACTGGGTAAGTTCGCTAAACTAAGAAACAACTTTTCTATAAAGGAAAAGAAAGCAATGTTTTATCATGAGCATTTTCTTTGTTGTGGGCCTTGTGGCTGTATATCTTAATTGCCCATTTAATGCTGTTTTGAAGGTTATTTGTGCATCGCTACAGAGACATTGACCCAAATATTAGAATGTCATGCATCGAGTCATTGGGTGCATGGATCCTGTCATACCCATCACTTTTCCTGCAGGATTTGTACTTGAAATATCTTGGGTGGACACTGAATGACAAAGTAATGAACAGGTTTTAAATTTTTTATCATGCAACTTTTAATTGTTCATTTACTATTTCACTTACTTATTCTTATGCTGTCCTTATACCTTTTCCCTCACCCTCCAATTTGTAGAATGCTGGTGTAAGAAAGGCTTCTATTCAAGCACTGCAAAATCTTTATGAGGTGGATGATAATGTACCTACCCTTGGTTTATTTACTGAAAGATTTTCTGGCCGGATGATTGAGCTTGCTGATGACATTGATGTTTCTGTAGCTGTTCACGCCATAGGTCTTGTTAAACAACTACTGAGGTCGCATTTCAAACCCTTTTCAATGATATTACCTTTTTATTGGTGGGTTTTTATGCAACATTATAAATTGAGAATTGATTTCTTGGTTCACTGTAGACATCAACTTATTCCTGAAGATGACTTGGGTCCTTTGTATGATTTGTTAATTGATGACCCCCCAGAAATCAGGCATGCCATTGGAGCATTGGTGTATGATCACTTGATTGCTCAAAAATTTAACAGTTTCCAATCAGGTTCAAAAGGTCTGAAGTGTATCCATGAAGTTTTTCACTTTACATTTGATAAGATTATTTTTACTAAGACAAGCATGTGATGAAGACAAATCTTTTTCAGGTGAAGCTGGCAGTACTTCTGAGGTCCATCTAAAGAGAATGTTGCGAATTCTGGAGGAGTTCCCACAAGATCCAATTTTGAGTATTTATGTGATTGATGATGTGTGGGAGTACATGACAGCTATAAAGGTACGATATATAAAGTTTTGTGAATAATAGGGAAGATATGGAACAGAGTGATGCCTTCTGCTTTTGACCAACATCAATTGTTTGACTTTTTGCTTGTGTATCTCTGTGGACTGGATATTCCAGTCCTAAGGTGTGTTTGGTAGGAGGGAAGTACTGGGATAAAAATAGCCTAGATATAGAGATTAGAGACATAATACCCGCCCAGATACAGAACAAAGTCCATGTTAGGAAAAATAAAGGTAAAAAAAGCGGGTTAATGACTTAGATGAGCTAGAGAGATGACGTGGAAAGGCATATGCATGTAAGATTTCTTTTAACTGCCTAGATGAATAGCAGCAAGGGAGAGAGAAGTGAGGAAGGGTGTGAATCCAGAGAAGGGGGGTGAAAGGGAAGTGTGGAAAGAAATTGTGGGAAGGTATTGGGCACCATAGGTCAGGTAGGTTGTCAGAAGATCTGAGGGTGCTACTGTCTTTTAGTCTGTTTTTCAGTGTAATAAAGAGGAGTTTACCTTATTTTAAGGAGCTATACTCCATTCTTTTTTATTAATAAATTTCAATCCCTATAACTAGGCCTAGTTAAACAAAAAGAAGGGTTGGCTAGGTTTGTTAGTTCGGTGTAAACCTTTTGTAGAATTAATATCTCATAATATTATTATTGTATTTTAGAATAAGGGTTAGTTTTATATTTTGTTTCACATCAAATCAACATAATATCAATTTCAAATAATTCAGCCTTTGGCTCTGTTCTCTACCTAAAATACCACAATTTAAACACACCAAACAATTGAGTGGTCTTTACCTGGAACTTTTGTTAGCTCAGG